GGTTCATGGTATCCATATATGCTACAAGACTACACTAGCATGACTGTGCCGTATATCTCGTATATGTACCATATGTGTTTTGATTGACAGTGGCGTACACCATGTAGCTGCACTAAATTTAGTAAAAAGAAAGAAAACATGCATCTGAATTATTCATATAAAAGAAACACGTATTCATAGACAGATCTGAACTAGTAACGGACAGGCTGAATCTGTAGTGAATCTAGTAGGCAGCGGGTGGTTTGGGCTTGTTGTTCGGTTTGAGGATGAGATCGGCTAGAGGATACCAGATTATTGGTCGCTTATGGGCTTGGACGCCGGCAGCGAAGAAGAGGATCAGGGCCCAGTCCGACATCACGGCCTGGTACACCCTCGGCAAGGGGAGGACGAGGCTCATCACCACGAGCAGCACGCCGCACGAGAGCGCGAAGCCGATCCCCACCGCCGCCGTCTGGAAGTCCGACGATCTCATCGCCGCGCGTGAGGCCGCTGACGCCATCGATCCCCGGCCCCCTCCCGCCGCCGCCGCCGCCGAGAGAATTCCCTTTTTTTTTTCTTTTGCTGATCCTATCAATGTTTCTCTTGGCCCTTGCCCCCCTTCTCTTTCAATCTGTTGCTGTTTAGGTTATCTGATGTTGGTTGGGGTATATATGAACTGGAAAAATATAAATCATGTACTAATCCGTGTCCTAAAACATCTCGGTCCCCGATCTGTTTGGTTATCTGATGCGTATTGGCTCGCGCGCGCGGGTCACGAGGCTGGTCGCTCACCACTCTCCACGCCTCCCGCCATTGCCGTCCAGTTCCTCTCACACGGAGCTTGGCCAGCTCGGCCTCATATAATAGCATATATGTTTTCTCATTATATTATTCAAATATATTAAAATGACAATATAATTTTAAATTTTGTAATAACTTTACAAAACTACTAATGTGCAATATTCATATGGTATTTTATATACGTGTTTGTTATTAATTATTTTTTAATTCCAAATTTTCTGTAAATAATATTTTTATATAGACTATAGGCTCTTCTTCCAATATTATTTATTTTTATTTTTGAATTTTTATTATTTCTAATTGTATTTCTATGTGTACTCTAAACTCATTTTTCAATTTTCTTTAGTTTTTAATTTCGAATTTCAATTACTTCTAAATTGTATTCCTATATTGACTTTAAACTCTTCTTCCCATGTTTTTCTTAATTTTGAATGTTAGTTATTTCTAAATTATATTTTTATACGGACTCTGAACTCTACTTTTAATTTAATTATGTTTATTCCGAATTTTAGTTAGTTTTAATTTCTATATGAACTCTATACTCTACTTCTAATATTTCTTATTTTTTTAATTCCGAATTTCTATTTTTTTAATTGTATTTCTATATGGACTCTATACTCTACTTCTAATATTCTTTATTTTTAATTCTAAATTTCTATTATTTCCTAATTATATTTCTATATGGACTCTATACACTTCTAATATTCCTTATTTTTAATTCCGAATTTCAGTTATTTCCTAATTGTATTTCTATATGACTCTAGTCTCATCTTCTAATATTCCTTATTTTTTAATTCCGAATTTCAACTATTTCTAAATTGTATTTCTATATGGACTCTTGTCTCCTCTTCTAATATTCCTTATTTTTAATTCCGAATTTTAGCTATTTCTAAATTATATTTCTATATGTGTAAGTTCAAGTGCCTTAATTTGGTTTCGGTGATTAATGACACATCTAATTATATGAGACTAACGTTTTTATGAGCCTTTCTTTGACTAGTCTTATTTGGATATGAAAGTAAAAATGATGAGAGGTATGTATTAAAAACTTCACATATTCTAACTTGGTCTCTCTTGTGGATCCAAAATATAGTGTGAGCTCCCTCATTGATCTTGATTGATAATGTGCATATGCATTCCTTCATATCCATATATATATGCACATCTTGAGGGGGAGCTTATTCTATATTTTATTCATTATAAGATCTCTATCTTGATTTGAAATTATCTTTCATCTCATCTTATTGTATTGTTTATATCAGGTTATTATCTATCACAAAAGAGAGAAAAGATTGAAAGATTTTGGATTAAACAATTTGTGTAATTGTTGCTTTGGTGATAGATGATAAATCGATGTTTATGGGATTAACCTCTCTTTTTCATAAGTTGTTAACTAGGTTATTTCCCGATGATGAGATGTGGTAGATATGCATTCTTTGGTGATGGACCTTAATCATGACAAGGATGAAATGCATGGAAATAAAACGATATGTACCACTTCTTATCTCCTTTTTGATAGGTTTATATGTATGATTTTCATGTTATTGTTATATAAGTGTGAGACTAATGTTTACTCGAGTCATATCTTATTTAGTCTAATTTACATTAAGAGCATGGAGATTATGAAGGTATATGTTTTATATTGGTCTACATCATTACTACATATGCCTTCTCTATGTGTATAGGATAAACCCCCCATTGGTTCTTCTTTACTTATGCATACACTTGTCTCTCTTGTATATTTCTTTGTATGCATATACTTAGGGGGAGCAAATCCTATACATTTATTGTGTATGTTCTAGATCCATGTTGTTCACCTATTATTTATATCGGATCTTTGCACTTGAGCTTGCATACGGGTATATGACACTTGAGGTGTAAATGAATACTCAACAAACATATCCATATCTTTCATATGCAACCGGTTGGTCATCAAGTGAAGGATGACAACCGATTTGTTGAGACTAATGTTCTCCTTTGAGATGTGAAAAGGAATAGGTTCCATCGTAATGAGGCTAATGGATGACAACATGGGTTGATGGTCACCAAGACAAGGACATCGCCATGTTGACAATAGTGAAGTCAAGATTGTGATGAGAAGAAAGGCTTGACAAAGGATGGTCAAGACCTCGGGATAAACATGGTTCAAGCAAATGGTCACGAGTGTTGATCTTGGCTCAAGCATTGACCCCAAGTTGGATGGCGCAAGGCAAAGATATAATAGAACTAAAAATGTTTTCTTAGTCTTTTCCCGGTCTTGGTGTTTGGTGTAGACCGGATTTGCTAGATAGGCGCCGTACTATCAAGAGGGGTCTATGAAGCGAGCATGTGGATGATCTTGTGCCATATTAGTTCATATGCATATAGGTGTATTTTGTGGGCTTGTCTAGACAAGTGTGGTGAGTTTTATCAAGTCCCAAACAAAGAGAGAAGTGGGCACATCCTATAGGTTTGGGTAGCCTCATGTGGTTATGTCCGGTGGAGTATCCTTTGGAGTGTGAGCTATTTCTCCCTGATAAAAGTTGTGTTTATTGGATGGATTGTTCATGGGTTGGATAGCCCTTTGAATAAGCTTTCCATATAGTCCAAGAACGCCAAATTCCGAGATCCGAGTCAAGAGATATCGTCGTTTTACTAACGGTTGGTTGTGCTGAAAAGTGACCTGCGGTCTGACCGTAGGCCTTAGGTCGGTCTGACCGGGGCTGTTAGCCGGTCTGACCGGTGTGGTAAGGCCGGTCTGACCGGCCCTACTGGTCTGTTGCACTGGTCTGGTTTTTGGTGGCGATACAGAGCCGCCAGAGCCGCAACCGGTCAGACCGAGCCGACGGCGGTCTGACCAAGCCGTGGACGGTCTGACCGGCCACTACACTGCTGTCAGACCGGCCAGGTTGAGTGGGCTCAATGATTGCCCTGTAACGGCTAGTTTTCTAGCCGTTACAAAGTAGTCCGGTTTGACCGGCCACTCTATGGCGGTCTGACCGGCCGAGCACAGAGTTGGGGATTTCGACTCCAACAGCTAGTTTAGGTGGTTGGGAGTATATATACCTACTCCCCAGCAGCAAGATTAAGGTTTTGGCACTCCATTGCATTATCTTGAACCTTTGCAAGAGCTCTCACATCCTTGTGAACTTAGTTTATCTAGTGATGTGTTAGAGAGTGGGATAAGCCAATCCAAGTGCATTGCTTCATTGTTATAGCTAGTGTGGCACTTGATCATCCTCAGCAAGCATCCTAGACTTGTTACTCTTGGAGGTTGCCGCCTCCTAGACGGCTTGTGGAGGTGTTGCCCGGTGACCTCTCCGAGGAGATTGTGGAGGAGGCCCGACGCCGGTTGTGAGTAGTTTGGAGTTCACCAACTTCGGAGTGAAGGAAGAACTACTCTAGTGATCGAGGCTTGGGTAGTCCTCTCCGTGGGCCGGCTCCCACCTTGCCCACCTCTTGACGAAGGGGGCGTGCGGTGGCTTCGTGGTTGAGCGGTGGAGTTGGGCTCGCCTCAACGGGGATTAGGAAACCAGCGAGTTTCCGAACCTCGGTGAAAAATCCCTCATCTCTTGTCCCATTTATTTGTTGCATTTACATTTGAGCAAGTTTACATAGTAGAGCTTATTTGTGCTATTATCACCCTAGGCTTGCAAACCTTAACATAGAGTAGCTTCTTTGTGCACTTACGTGAGACTAGTTGATTTAGGTTTTGAATTGTGCAAAACCGTTTTGATTTACGCTTCCGCATACAAAACTCGATTTTAGCCAAAAGTTTTAAAACCGCCTATTCACCCCCCTCTAGTCGGCCAAAAGTTTTAAAACCGCCTATTCACTCCCCTCTAGTCGGCCTCCTTGATCCTACAATATGGACTATGCTTTTTTCTTTTTCTTTTTCTCCGATTAATGTGAGAATTTATAGGTCATGAGAGCGAACGAGGAGACTCCTTTTTCTATTTCTTTAATAATATAATAGATTTGGACAGGCCCTTGTTCAGATTTATTGGACTAGTATATATTCTATCCAATTCCAAATTGATGCGTTGAAGACGCCTGCTGAGGTGTGATAGAGTAGGTAGACGATCGATGACATATTTGCGGATTTGCCTCTCGGACTTTATTCTCAACACGCGCATTTCTCTCACGACCACTCACACAAAGGGAATTTGATTTGAGTGTTGTGGAGTAGGTCAATATATAAGATGAAAGGCCTTGCGGACAAGATGCAGTCCGCAGGAAAGCACCTTGATGATGATCTCGTCTCCTACATCCTTGCTAGTATGGATGTTGATTTTAATCCGGTGGTGACATCAGTTGCAAACCGGACTAAAGCTATCACTGTGGGTGAACTCTTTGCTCGACTTGTTAGCTTTGAGACTCGTATGGAGTCGTGGAGGCTTTCGACCGCAGGCAAGGTGGTGACTGCGGCCGCGGACGTCGGCGCGACAATAACATTCATCCCATGGAAACAAATATTAATTGTTAGATTTGTCATTATAATTGCTTCCAAATTATTTCTCCTTCCATTTTATTCATATTATAAGATACTTTGATTATTTTTTCAAATTTTTAAGTTTAACCAAGTTAACATGGAAAAAAAGCAACACATATAAAATTAAATTAGTTTCATTAAATCTAACACTAAATATATTTCTTAATAATTTTTTTGGGTTAAAAATATTGTTATATTTCTTTTATGAAGTAGTCAAACTTAAAAAGATGTCAAAATGTATTCTGATATGAAACAGAGGGATGACTATTTTTAAAAAATTTAGGGTCACAATTAACAAATAATAGTCATATACTATGTTTATTAAAGACCGTCTTATAATATATAAACAAACCTGCATTTTGGATTTGATCGATTGATTTAGTTGTGAGGGAAAAAACCCCATTAATCCGTACCACCTCCTCCAAAAAATACTCAATCCTTGATACTCTGTAATAAATATGGCCATATATATTGCTAAATACAGTCTGCGGTCTGCCTATACTTTTGATTTTTTTTTCAAACCACCCTGTTAGGGGTTAATTAATCTAACCATATAATGTGTGGTCCAAAACCGATACACGCATCATCGCAGGGGAGAGGAAACGGCTCAAGTGTGTACTGGTTGCCAGCATGTTTGACTTGGAGCTTCGATTATTCTATGCGTGTCTTGTACCCAACGTTGCAGTTGCACTGCCACCGAGGGCAGCAACTTGCCACAAACTTTCTTTGCCCTAATTTGGTACGAGCACCAAGGGATTAGACTAATTAAACCTATTGAGAAACCGGTCACTAATCGTTAACTACCTCTACGTATACTCTAAAAACCTCGTGAACAGTCACTGGCATGTAGAACCAATTACGCCTAACCTGCCAACAAATACTATAACGTTAGTGTGTCTAGCTCCGTAAGAGCAAGAAGAATAATAGTAAGCTATAAAACTGATATAAGCTATAGTAAGCTATAAAATTGATATAAGCTTATGTGAAAAAGAGAAGTAACAAAAAAAATAAATAAAGAATATTGGCTGTTATGCAAGAGCTAGTTTAACACGTGTTGCAAGACAAATATATTAAATGTATAAGTAAGAGAGAAGAAGAAAAATTAAAGCTAATCTTATAACTAATCTATCATATATGTTGGTTTTAAAATGGGCTAAATGAGTTTACAATTAAACTTGCTATAACAAACATATTCTCGTAATAAGATAAGGTGAGAACACATGACAGCCGCCGACCAACTAATTAAGCCCCAAACATGAGACAAAAACGACCTCGAATTAATCATGGGTGGCAAGTGCGAGCCTCTGACAGAATAATTGGACCTCAAATCGATCGCTTAGTTAGGATTTATTTCTGACTTGTGATCTGCGAGCGCTGTGAAGGTGGGGGGTGATCTTGATTTGTTTAGCCCAGCTGTGGGGCAAGATCCTAAGCTGGCTGGGTTTAGCAGTTTTCAAACGCTTAAATAATGCGTCGCCGGGTTTGGTGATTAGCGCTGGGAATCTCTTCGCAGATGGGAACAAAAGTCCAACACGACACCACACAGGGCAATCGGGGGCAGCGTCCTGCCATTTTCCGCTGAAAATTTTGATCGGTGGTTGACCCCTCTTCCGTGTGTGGGACACGGGTGAAATTAAACGGCATTACGTCCATGGAAATGGTTCTCGATTGATCGGTAGTTTTCGTATTTTATGAATTCTACAAATTGACTTTATATAGATGTTTAAAAATTTATTTTACTTTTATAGAAATTATGTTTGATCACTCAGCAATTTCTGTTTCGTTTATATTTGACATTCTCCCTCCGTAAAAAAACATAGTATTAGAATGTGATAACGACTCTATAAGAATGTCCAAATTCTTTGTATTATTATATGCCACATCTTAGCACAAGGTTGTTTTTGTTTTTTTTTTGACGAATAGAGTAGTGCGCAGGGGTGCGGTACTCTCTATAGTCGTCGCAGCTTTCGATTGTGTAACAACAGGGCTCGTTTGAAACACGAGAGGGGAATTACTGTCAACGATCACTGTGAAAAAAAGCCTGTAAATTTTCTCGCTGTCGCGAGCACTAGCAACGCACTCGCGACTCACACATGTGTGTGTGGCACGCTTTATGGTGGCACGCGTGCGTATGCTAGGGCTAGGAAGGTCTCGCAGGCAGGCAGGCAACGAGAGGCTTTTCTCCTCTATAAAAAGTGGTTACTGTGCAGAGGTCAAGCCACACACACACACACTGATACACAGATCGGCAGAAAGGAAGGAGAAGCAGCCAAGCAGAGGCCCCGGTCTTGTCACCGGAAAGAGAGAAAAAGAGAAGTGAAATTGAGGAAGAGGAGGAGAATGTGATGGCGCAGCAGCAGCGGCGGCGGCGGCGCGGGGGCTCTCTCGCCGTGCTCCTCCTCCTCCTCCTCCTCGCGGCGCTGCTGCTCTCCCTCTCCCTCCTCGCTCGCGTCGACGCCGCCGCCACGGTTTCGTCAGGTAGTACTCTGTTGCGCTATACCTCGCCGTCGCCGGCCGGCCGTGCTTCTCCCTCTTCTTTCGGTTTGCATCGTCGTCGTCGCCGTCGTTGCGCTCATGCCCGTGGTTCTTTCTTTCTTTCTTGCAGCGAATCTCGATTGGAATGAGGGAGAGGTGGCGGTGGCGACTCCGCTAGGACAGGTTTGCCTGCCTTCCCAGTTCTTGAATCTTTGATCATCTATGTGCATCCTCTCCTCCTGATTACGCTACTCTTTAATTAATCTTGTTTTTGCTGTGACAGGAGGCGGTGGCGGCGGCGGAGGAGGAGGGTGACCGGCCGCCGGAGAGGGTGGAGATGGAGTCCATCAACGACTACGGCCAAGCCAGCGCCAACAACCGCCACAACCCGCATCCGTGACATGACCTGCCAACCGGAGCTGGATCTTAATTAGCTACTACTAGTTAATTATCTATGCAATGTTCTCCTCATTATCTAAAAAAAATGTAATGTGTTCTCCTCAGTATAATACTCTCTCCGTCCTACAATATAAGAGATTTTAATTTTTTATTTGTAACGTTTGACCACTCGTCTTATTCAATTTTTTTTGCAAATATAAAAAACGAAAAGTTGTGCTTCAAGTACGGTAGATAATAAAGCAAGTCACAAATAAAATAAATAATAATTTTAAAAAATTTTGAATAAAATAAGTGGTCAAACGTTACAAACAAAAATTCAAAATCCCTTATATTATAGGACAGAGGAGAGAGAGTACTTGTTAGTGCCAAGCTCACACACCACTCTCCCTGCTGGTCAACCTGTACTTGTAGAGGCATGCATGTACCTTCACCTTTGCTTCGTTTTCGTATTAGAAAGAGAGATCAAGAGAAGCATCGATTTCTAGCTTTGTACTTTCGAGTTCGTATTAGCTGAAAGGGACAAAATCTGAAGATGCAGGCAGTACATTTGTCACTCGCAGGGGAAAAAAGTGCATCGACTAAATTTGACCCAAAATTAATTCAGCAGCTTCAGTCACAACTAAAAAGTTCAGAGAGCTTGGGAGCTGAGCAGAACAAACAATTCTTGCAAACGTATGTAAGTTGAGTCCGCCCCAATTCATGCAAGTTTCTAGCATCTATAGCTTCTTTCATAATTAAAATCTCCCCACAAACAACCCAGCTTTTCATCCGATGATGAATAATGCTGAGATCAAGGCCAAAGCGGTGACTGGTGATGACGCCAACCGGCGGATGGAGCAGCCGCTATCCTGACTCTGCTCGGACCAGGGGCTCTTATGCAAATACTCAGACGCTACCATTGGTAGGCTGGTAGCGATCCAATGTTTTGCAAAGATTTTGCTTCTCTCATCTCTTGCTTTTGGTTAAATCTTATCTCTCAACTCTAAAACTGGGTATAACATCTCCTCTAACTTTAAAAACCGATGTAAATTAACACCTTTAGTAGTTTTGAAACGGTTTCTGCTCACGTGGTTGGTCAACTGGTCCACGTGTGTTGATGTGGCATCCCGTTATCAAAGAAATTGAAAATAAAAGTGGGGCACACAAGTAAGTGACAAGAGTAAAATTTTAAAAATTGTGAGGCCCACTTGTTAGCCCACTACTCCCTTCTCAATCTTGACGTGTCACCGCTGGCGGCAGTGGACAGTGACGGTGATGACATGCATCACCCACAATGACAACGAGCACTGCCGTCGCACACGCTGTCCCATACTCGTGCTTGAAGAGCCCCCCGTGGCGGCGTTGAAGTTGGGTCCGGAGACGGCAGTGTGGTTGGCGACGGCAGGGGTAGCAAGGGAAAGAGAGTAGCGAAGAAGATTTACTGCTTCCCCATGCCACCGGCCTGTCTCACCTTCTGAGCGTCCTGCTGATATGAGAGTATCACCTACCTCTGATTGGCTCGCCAGGGAAGAGAGGAAAGAGAAAGAGGAGGAGAGGTGAGGAAGAAGATGAAAGAGGAGGAAGTCATTGGCATGTGGGTCCCACCTGCTGACTCAGTGAGTCAAATCTGCCACATCAGTAGAAACCACTCCCCAAACACCCAAGGAGTTGATTTACGCCGGTATTCAAAGTTGAGGGAGGCGTTAAACCGGTTTTGCGGTTGAGGGTTGTGATTCAATCAGAACCAGAGATGAGGGAGGCCAAATAGACTTACTCATTTTGCAAAATGTCGTACACTGGCTTTAATGGGCTAGGCCCACTTGTCCATTGGGCGCCCCCCTATACCTTGGGCTTCCAACCAATCCATGGGCCGGGAAGGCATCGGACGGCCGAGATCCTCCCATCCATCGCGGTGTCCCGATCGCGGCCGTCGCAAAGTCGCGCACGGGACACAAGCCGAGGAGGGTTTTGAAACCATCCTGGGTTTTCCACCTTTTCCAGCGGCCGCGACAAGTCCAGCGAGGCGCTTCCTCCTCTCCTCTCCTCTCCTCTCGCGACTTCGCGGCGGCTCGCTCGCCTGATCCATCCGTGTCTCGCGCGGCGGCGCCATGGCGGGGGAGGCTTCGCCGCCCGCGCCACCGGAGATCCCCACGAGGTGCCACCACTGCGCCGGCCCCCTCTCCAAGGACATGGTACGCGTGATCCCGCTCCCCCCACCCCACCACAGCTCGTCTTCACCTCCCCGGGATCTCTCCCCTTGGTCGTGCAGGCTCCGCTGCAGGAGTCGTGGGTGGCTGGTGCCCCTGCGTCGCGTTCGAGTGGGGTTTAGTTTTCGTTTGGCGTCCGGAATTGGGTCGTGGTTCTAGTTGGTAAGTTATGGTGCCATGGTGGTGTTGGCTGTTCATGTATATAGGTTGTTTCTCCCCCTTGTTGATTTGGCCTGCACCGTGGTTTGTTTTTGGATCATGCTGTGTGGATGGCTACCTACCCTAGGACAAGTAGTTTCGGCTCGGGAGGGAAGAGTTTTGTTTCAGGCCGGGGTCAAACTAATTTGTGCGATTGAACTGATTCGTCGTGTGTGGTTGCTTTTGAAGGAAACGAGCAGCTGGACGGTGCCTCCACTGGTTCGAGATAGCTTCTCCATGGTTTGTGTTCCTTTGTCTTCAACTGTGCTGCACACATAAATTACTCTCTCTTTTTTTGTGGTTGCACAACTTTATCGAATTCGGCTTTTCTTTATCTGTTTTTCTTGTGTTAGGTTGATACTATTGTACATTCTTTTTTCTATCTTGTAAATTCTGATCGGTATGTTGCTAAAGTTGATTAGATTTGTTTCATGACATGTATGTGATTTGTTATAATTACAAACTTTTACATAATACTAAAGTTGTCCTAGAAGATCTTTGCTAATAATATTTGTGTTATGTTCTGACAGATTGGTTCTGCTATTGGGGGTACAGCTGGAGCATTTTATGGTTTCAACCACAGTAAGTTGCTAACCCATTTCATTCAGTTACTCATGCACAAGTTGGTATTTTGCAGGAAAGTAAATCATTAGGTTTCTAACAATACCTTTTAGCACCTTGTTTGCACTTAATTTACTGTGGGGGGTTCTAATAGTTAGCTTACTGTGGGGAGTTCTAATAGATAGCAATATCCCCTTTGCTTGCTTGGCTAGTTTACTGTGGGGAGTTCTAATAGTTAGCATACTTATAATAGTCATTTGCCTTATTGGTGAACCTCAGTCATTTCAAAGCTCAGAAACATATGTGGACAAGATAATCTGTAGTTTTTTATTGTCTCGGAAATGTATTGTTCATGTTGTCCACTCAATGATGATTGTTATCTTCTTTGTAAAAACAACACCTTGCACACTATAGAACACCTTTCTTGTACATCCTCTCTGTGTCCATGTCTATATGCATGGTAATTCCTCCTGTTTTAAGTTATTGATTGCAACTTTTGTTGGCGGATGCATCTTGAACAAAATTGATTGACCATGTTTGCCCTTTCATAAAAGTTGATATATCTTCTGAGCAGCACTGATTTTGAACTTCTTTTGTAGCTATGCCTTTTGTTCGACGGTACATAAAAGGGCCAATGTGGATGCATTTTCTTGTTGGTGTAAGTGACAATTCTTTTTCAAAGTTTATATTATATTATTATCAATCTATTGAGCATGAATTAGGCTGTGTTCGGGAGTGAGGGTTGGGTCCTAGAACGCAAAACGAAGCAGTGTTTAGCGCATGATTAATTAAGTATTAGCTAAAATAAATTTGAAAAATGGATTAATATAATTTTTTTTAAGTAACTTTCATATAGAAATTTTTTATAAAAAACACACCGTTTAGCAGTTTGAAAAGCGTGCGCGCGGAAATCGAGGGAGGTGAGTTGGGAAAGTAGAGATAAGAACTCAGCCTTAGAGTGTTGCAGTTTTTAGATGGTGTATTATTTTTTCACTTCCTGATTATGTTTCACAATCTCTAGGTCATCTCAAAACTAGAAACACAATTTGATGCCTTTTCTTGACACCTCCGTTTCTATGTAAATTATTTTAAAACACTACAGAGAAAGCATTCAAATTTCATGTTCTATCTCTTATCGCCAAAACATCTCTTATGTTCTTTTACTTGGACGGGATCGTGAGTTCAAATTCACGCGTATGGTCACAGACTCACAGTTGCATCCAAAGGGCAGTCTCAGCCAAATGCTGTGCAGTTCCTTCTGGTTCAACAAATGCTGTGCAGTTCCTGACTTTCGATTAACTAATGGTGATAATTACTATATTCACAACATTTAATTGACTGTCTCATGGTTATTACAGATAAAAGTGTTCTCGCTATTACTGATAAAAGTGTATAAACTGCGCAGAGATGCTACCTTTTGAAGCAAACTGTGGACATTGATAACTCTGATCTTTTTTTAAAAAAAAAAATCTTGCAGGCACCTCCAGTTATTGTCTTCTCTTCTGCATGTGCTGGGTTAGCAGGTCAGTTACTACTATTTTATTTTATTTTGGTTTTTTGGCCATTTAACTATTTTTTTGCTCATAGTTCTGTTGTCTACAAACTCAAATTATTATTTGAGTTTTGTGATATCGTGGATTCGTGGTCATTATATTAGGTTTCAAGCCGATCTTATTTAAGTTTTCTGCAGAGTTAATCTATCTTCCTGTTTGTTTTATTCCTGATGATGACTAGTTGCGATGTTTCTATAGTGCCTTGATACCTGCTCATCATAGACAGTTACTTGAAACTATGAGTCTTATGACTACACATACATATTCTGTTTTTAAGGATGTTCTATGCACTCTTTAAAATATGTATGTGAGTACCTTTCTTGTTGTTTACATGTAAACAATGCCAGGACGTAGTGTTATATTGTTTATGCTGATAGATCTTATGAGCTCGTGAAACATTGACTAGTCATCTGCCATCTGGTTACTGTGTGGTCCATGTTATTTCTCATTGACGAACCTAGCGAGTCAAGGTTCATCCTGGAAATGTTTTATTCTCTTCCTCAAATCTTATCTTCTATTCAATGGATCTCCATGAAATTGTTCGCTACAGATACATTGATTGGAGGCCAAAAAAAAAAATCACTAAAGCGCAGCAATGACACATGTGGTTTTAATAATAATAGAAAGAACTAATAGTTGGAATATTCAGATGTAGTTCAAAACCTCATTAAAATTGTTGATTTTTGCCATGTCACTGTTTTTATTCACTATGCGTGATGGATGATCTGAAGGTTGATATGTTTGTAGGTGGGACAATACCAGCGCTTGCACAGCTGGTATCATCATCCTATCACTCAGCCACAGCGTCGTCCTTTGCCCACACAACTTCTCGTGATGAAATGCATAAGGCCAGAAGCTCCTCGACATTGTGATCTACAGTGGCAGCAAATTGTTAACTGGAATCCTAACTATCCAAAACACCATATACTATTATAAATGTGCATGTGTTACCACATATCATCTGTTTTATGAGGAATGCTCTTGTAAATGGTAAAACTTTCCCCTGTGGAATAGTGCTTATATATGTTCCCAATTTTGCTATTTATCACCATGCACAGGCTGTTATTTTTGTTATGGTGTCGCAATAAGCCTGGAGTGTTGCGAATTGTGATCTGCTTTAACCTTCAGGATGCCATTTTCGTTTGCAATATATATGCACATTACCTTTTGCTCTCTACTTGTCTAAACATTTACCATGTACGATGTCTGTCGTTTTGACTGTTTTACGCGCATGCCATTGAAGTGAGTTTTTACTTATGTGATCTGTACTCCTGCCTCAATTTATTTGATGGCATGTGGCAGATTAAAGTGTGTTGTGCCACCCTAGGAATCTAATCTAGGATACCCCTGCCGGTGCCGGATCACCGTTTGTGATGACCGTGCATGATAGGGTGTGGCATGGTGTCCAATGTTTTTGCATGCATTGAATCGTAGCCATCATACATTGAATTCTCGCGCCTCGTTTCGGATGCCATTTGATCTATCTCCTCTCGCTCCATCCATTTCATGTGCCAAAAAGGCCACTGATGATGCAAAACAGTGGCGATCTCTGGCTGAATCCTCGCGGAATGGCAGTGTGTGGACGTGCCTCTCTTTGCAGCCTTGTGTTGTGATGTGTTGGAGTACATGCTTACATGTGTACATACGCCGAGGCACTGTGAGATGCATCTAGCCACCTGCGTCACTGCGTGCGACTGCCAAGATCTCTCGCCGAAAGTTCGACGAGATCCAGTGCTCTTTCAAGCACTCACTCATTTGGTGCTTTGGCGATGCTTCGAGATGTTTGGGAAGCTTGTTGAACTAGAGTGGAGATAGATCATGTATGCTTGTGTTAATTTTGGCATGTTCCTTTTTAGAACCAAAGGGAGTAATACAGCTACTATCTTAATATAATTCACGCCCTATTTGGGTATAACTCTAGGCTGCGTTCGTTCGTTGTGATGAGTTAGTTAGTTTGTGTGTTTTGTTTTCCGCGCGTACGCTTCCAAACTACTAAACGGTGTATTTTTTGTAAAAAATTTTTATAGAAAAGTTGTTTTAAAAAATCATATTAATCCATTTTTAAAATTTAAAATAATTAATACTCAATTAATCATGCGCTAATGGCTCACCTCGTTTTGCGTATCTTCCCAATCTTCTCCATCTCCTTCACCCCAGCTGACAGGATTGGAATCCTTGCGTCCACAAATATTACACATGGATACTTATGGTTGGATTTTAGTTAAGTCAGCAAAATTGTCACTGGACTTTATCTCTTGTAGTACTCCCTCCATACTCACAAAGGAAGTCGTTTAGGACATTGACACGGTCTTCAAAACACAACTTTGACTTCTTGTTTCTATAAAAATATTCATTGAAAAGTGATATATGTATACTTTTATAAAAGTATTTTTAAGACAAATCCATTCATATAATTTTTATATTTTCAAACTCAACAACTTGAGAGTTATTCATGATTTATATTTTCAATGTTTGACTTAAACATTATCCTAAACGACTTACTTTACGAGTATGAAGGGAATATGTGTTAAGCGAGTGTACTCGTAAGCATATGTGCTCGTCTGAATTGAAAAATTAAAAATCTGTCGTAGGATGTTTTCTAAACTGAAAAAAAAATAATATATATTTTAATTATTTGCAGCAGCACAACGTGATAATAGCAGGTTGTATGGCGCATTAGCCTTGGACTGATCGGTCCTGGCCGAAGTGCAACGCTGTAAACGCAGAGCCCAGTGCACCGCAACGGAGGAAAACCGATTGGCCGCCGCCGGTGTCGTCCGCCCGCGCGGGGGACTCACGTACATCGTTGTACCGCGCCCGCCGCACTCCTTCGCTCGCGCGACGTCAACCACACACAATTTCTTTTAGAGAAAATATAAAAAAGCAATCCACTGCTCCCTCCATCACATAATATAAGGGATTTTAAGTTTTTGTTTGCACTGTTTTATCCCTCGTCTTTTATTCAAAAAATTTTAAAATTATTTTTTTTTTACTTACTTTATTATCCAAAGTACTTTAAGCATAACTTATCATTTTTTATATTTGCACAAATTTTTTAATAAGACGAGTGGTCAAACAGTACAAGCAAAAACTCAAAATCATTTATATTATGGGACGGAGGGAGTACAAACTAGTCTAAGCTAATAAAAAAATTTTGAGACACATGACACGTACTTTAAGAAATGAAAACCAGCGGCACGTCCCTAATCTCACTAAAGTCTGGTTGAAAATCCACCTACATGTGCGTAATATTCGTGGACACCAGGATTTAAACCATATTGGGTGAAGTCATGCACTCACAACTCCACCACCACACCACGGGTGCTTCCCCAAATTGAACATAAATTTTAATTAGCTTTTAACAATTCTTAGGGTGAAATGATCTTTTATAGCGGTTAACAAGTACCGCTAACGGAAACCTACCGGCAGTGATATGTCTAGCACAAAGACACTTGTACAATATCATTATCGGAAAGATGGGTTTGTCAATGATTCTTCTTCGATTGATACGCTTGTCGATGATATTTTTAAAATGTTCTCTTTTTTAATACTTCCTCTGTTCCATATTATATCTAAATTTATTAATATTCATATGAATATGAGCAATGTAAAAAAAAGTATGATAATATGAAACGGAAGGAGTATAAGGAATTAGATCGCGCGAGCGACGCGGACACACTCATGCCGCTCCCGCTTGCCCACTGACGCGAAGCGTGCTCGAGTGCTCGACCAGCCTTCGTCTCCGCTCGCCTCGCCGTCGCCGTACGTCGCCCTCCGCGACAGCCTGTGCTCCCGTGGCTCCACCCGCTCGCCTCCTCCTACAAATCCTCCATCCCGCCTCACCTCACCTCACCTCACCTCTCACTCACTCACACGCGATAAAAGAGTTTGCAACAAGTGGTCTCCTTCCATGGACAGGTACAGGGTCGCGCCGCGACCTGTCTACCTCTCCGCCGCCGCCGCCGCCGGCGGTGATCACGGCGATGGGCCCCGCCGCCTGCCACGCGGTGTCGCCGGCGGCGGTGGCGCCGAGCTCGACATCTTCTCCGCCGAGCGCTACTTCAACGCAGACGACGTCGTCAAGAAGGAGGAGTACCGCGACGAGGAGCAGCCGCGGCAGGAGGTGGCCGTGGATGCGGCCAGCCAGAGCGGACGCACCGTGGCGTGCTCATCGGAGGCGAGCTGGACCAGCCGCTCCGGGCTGCTCTCCGGCCACGCCCAGTCCGCCGCGTCGGCGGGTGCTGCTGCTAAGCTCCAGATGGGTGGTGCCAATGGCGGCGGCGGCGCCGCCGCCGCCGCCGCAAGCGCTCACCGCGGCAAGAAGCCCGGCTCCGGCCAGCGGTGGGGGCTGTTCTCTCGTGACTGCCCCTGCGCCGGCAGGAAGGCGGTCACCGTCGACGTCGCCTCCGAGCCGAGGAGCCCGGCGACGCCGAGAACCCACGCGAGGTTTGAAAACAGCCATGTCGTCGCCGACAGCACGATCTTTAAAGCGAATGCGCCGCCGCCGCCACCGCCATGCGAGGAGGAGCCCGTCAAGATGAAGATATCTCCGGGGAGCAGCACGTTTCCTCCTCCCCTCGCGAACAGTATCTTCGCGGCGGCGCCGAACAGGGGCGGCGGCGGCGGTGGCGCGGCGCCGTTCGCCGCTTTCCCGGCGCCGGACATTGTTGGCCGCCGCGTCGTGAGCTCCGGCGGCTTCACGTTCCCGGTGGCCGTCGGCGCGGCGAAGGTGGTGAGCACCGTTGGCGACGAGCCGCCGCGCGAGTCGCTCGAGGTGTTCCGGCCCATAGACGAGGAGTCGGTGCTCGCCGACCCACCGGCCGATCACCTGGCGACGGTGGGCGGCCGCGGAGGAGGAGGAGGAGGCCTCGCCGCAGGCTTCGCGCGCGCCCCAGGGGTGGCGGCGGTGGCGACCGACGAGGAGGCAATGAGCGACGCGAGCTCGGACCTGTTCGACCTCGAGAGCTTCGCGGCGTCGTCGTCGTTCCCGACCACGTGCCGCGGGCGCAGCAGCCGGCGCAACTCGCGGGAGGACGACGACGACGACGAAGACCTTCCGTACGGCGCCGCGGCCGCGGCCGCCGCCGCCGTCGAGCCGGCGCTGAGCGAGTGCATGTACGCGCCGAGCGAGGTGAGCGTGGTGTGGAGCGTGGCCACGGCGGAGGGCGGCGCGTTCGACGCGGCCAGCGTCGCCAACTTCTCCAGCGCGGCGTCCGCCTGCTGCGTCGAGGAGTTCAGCTTCGTCCCGCCGCCTGACTCCGCCGCCACCGCTGGCGGCGGCGGCCACGAGGGCTTCACCGCCGCCATGTCGCGCAGCGCCGCCCGCAAGAAAGGCGGCGGGTTCTTGAGCAGCTGCCGGTGCGAGAAGGCTGTGAGCGTCGGGCCAACTCCCGTCCGGATGGTCCGGCCGGAGGTGAACGTCAAGACCACCGGCGGCGGCGCGGCACGGTATCACCCCGGCCGCGTCCGCATGCCGGTCCGGACGTGAACTCGCCGCCGGTGAGCACCGGCGACGTACATACGTTCAACGAGCGGGAGAACGCGAAGGCGTGCGCTATGGTTTAATTAGTTTTGATGTGTAAATTTGTGAGTGAGAAATGTGTTGGTGTAAGGAATGCACATTTGTGTTGTAATAAACCAAGACTTTTAATTTCTCTATACAGATTTCGTACGTACATATCCCTTCAGACCCTTCACAGAGAGGGGAGGGGGGGAGGGGGGGTTCGCTCCGCCTCTCCCTATACGCTTCTTCCCTTCCTCCTCTCCTTCTTCTCTTCCTACAACATATTAAACCATAAAAAAATTTTAAAAAACAAATAGTTAGAAAAATTTATGTATAGAAATACTATATATAAAAAATTTGAATTCAAATTCAAATTCAAATTCAAATTCAAATTTGAATTAAAATTTAAATTTGAATTCAATTTGAATTTGAATCGGGTATGTAAACTTTTGACTTATAAACATTGGATCTATAAACTTTAGGTGTATAAACTTTAGATGTATATAGAAAATATTTGAATTCAAATTTAAATTTGAATCGGATATAATTCAAATTCAAATTTGAATCGGGTATATAAACTTTAGTTCTATAAACTTTAGGTCTATAAACTTAACTTTAGGTGTATAAACTTTAGATGTATAGAAATAATATATATGAAAAATATTTGAATTCAAATTCAAATTTGAATCGGATATTTGAATTCAAATTCAAATTTGAATCGGATATAATTCAAATTCAAATTTGAATCGGGTATATAAACTTTTGATTTATATACTTTAGTTCTAAAATCTTTAGGTGTATAAACTTTAGATGTATAGAAATATTATATATAAAAAAAATATTTGAATTCAAATTTAAATTTGAATCGGATATATAAACTTTTAGTCTCTAAACTTTATATGTGTAAACTTGAGGTGTATAAACTTTAGGTGCATAAATAAATTTACTAAAATAGGAAAGTAATGCGGTGCCAAAAAGGAAACAGGTGGAGGGAGGGAGGGGTGAGGTGGGGAGCGAATCTGATCGCTACCCCTTCCCCAGGGCGAGCGATCGCCAAACAGCATTTCTGTTCACAAGTTGGTTTCTTTGATTATAGAGAAGATGTAACAAGCACATGCATCATCCGTAAATGCATTAGAACGATCAGGAAGAAATACTCTCTCCATCCCTAAATATTTGACGCTATTGGTTTTTTTAAACATGTTTGATTGTTTATATTATTTAAAAAATTTAAGTAATTGTTAATTCTTTTTCTAACATTTGATTTATTGTTAAATATACTTTTATGTCTACATATAGTTTTACATATTTCACAAAAGTTTTTAAATAAGACGAACGGTCAAACATGTTAAAAAAGTTAATGGCATCAAATATTTAGAGACAGAGGGAGTAGCATATAGCGGTTGGCTGAACAAATCCGTAAATTGACATTGTTATGGATTGAAATTTTGTTGAACAGTCATAAACTTGCAAGGATTTGAAATGAAAAATTGTTAATGGATGGCCTTTGATGTCATATATCTAGACAATCAGATAGGCCAACCGCTAGTTTTCAACAGTATAGATTTCTACAATTAGTGATTTGGTTTTATAGATAGAATATGTACTACAATGCTATATATGATAGTATTAGGTTATTTGTTGGACCGTTTATTGGTTAACATTTACACAAATGCAAGTTGGACTTTTAAAAGAAAATTAATCATATTAGAGATATGTCGCTATTTTTTTGTTTATTTAAACATGTGTTAAGGGTGTATCTATGAATGTGTGGGTGTGGTATTGCGTGTAATAATGGTGTATGTCCGTATCGGCCATATATTTTTTTGAAAAAAAAACATTGAAGATTCTCTTCTCTACCCCTCTCTCTTCAGCTCCATAAAGAAATATATATGCAATCGAGAAAAGTTTTAAAAAAATAGTATGTATATTCTTCCTTTAGGCTGACGTCACCCTACGTCCGTACAATTATATAAAGACAACGAATGTCTTAATGAGATTGCTTTCCTTTATTGTGTACCTTCTAGATAAACTTATCTCTTTTATGGCCTTCTGATGCACTTGATTTGTCAATTCAACATGGAGACAATTAATCCAAAAACGGGATCAACACGATGTGATGTGTGGCAATGCCCATGTTGAGTGTGGGAGGCAAGTACGTTGACTGTTTAGCATCTAGCTAGACGTCCGTGTGTACTTAACTCGTGCAAATTAAGCCCCACTGTATATGAGTTGTTGTTGCTTTGTTGGGACCACATTTCATACACATGACTAATTAGTGCTATAAATCTACATTTGCATTAACGTTATTAGACGGCTGTTTTGTTTTTAAGTTGTGCTTGCTCTCTAATTATCTGAAAACAAAAATGGAACGCTCTACATTTTATTTGACAAAAAAAATCCCTAGAACTTTTTAAATGTCAAATTGTCGAAATACTCTAAGATCCATACAGTGCTATGGTGTTTCCACCTTGCCCTTTACCCCTGCACGAATAACTCCGGCACGACGAATAAAATGTAGGGTTTAATTAACTCTGAAATCCTAAGTAAACACTAACTCGTCTTGCTGTCACCGTTGCTGGAGCCAGGGGCGGATCTACAGTAGTACCACCAGTGTCAGGTGACACCGACGACTTTTGATAAAAGCTATGTTTAAACTGTCTATCCATAATTATAACACTATATTCTAAATATAATTAGTATGATATGACACCGATAAACACGTTATGACACCAATGAACTAAATTTCTGGATCCACCACTGGCTAGAGCTGAAGGAGAATTGAGCTACAGTCATTGGAGCACGAATCTCGAATTAAATCCCAATATTAGAAATTTTTAAGACTTGGGTACAAATTTTCTAACGAATGACATTTAGCAAATTTTTTTTAAAAAATCACCAATCGTGAGCTAATTAGTCGCGAGTAGATTGCAACATATATATGCCATATCATGTCCGCGTCATCCGTATGGGGAAGATCGAGCTAGCATTCTGGAGTTTGGTTTCTCATGAAGCTTTCTCGCCGATCGTTTCTAAGCAAACATGCATAATGTACAAATTGTACATCATATGAACCCATGCATGCGTGCGCTCCAAAAATTCAAAAAAGACCATATACACGAAAGCGAGACTTCACATAAATAACGTACGCGGCATTCCCTCGTCCAGCAAGTGCAAATTGCTACAGTGGGCTAGCAAGCAAGCCAACGAGCTAGCTAGCAATCAGGACACTTGGATTCCAACAAAAGGATAAGCCGGCCGGCGACCGATCGATGAATGTATCAAGTTTGTCACCCAGTGCATCAAATGAATGTATCAGAATACTAAGAAGATGGATTTTTGCCTCGGGAGGGAATGTCCCGTTGTTTCTGATAGGTCTCCTAAAGTTGTTATGATTTTCTTTAAAAAATAACAAAATTGATAAAGATGAAATATATCATTCTATAAACACATAGGAGGAAGATTAACAAAATTGACAAGATCAAAATTGACCAGACAATGGACTTCGCTGCTTAAGGAGGAAGATGGCCAAAGAGTAAAAGATGGTTGCATGATATTGGAGAAGAGAGTTTCTAGTTTCTTTGCAATGAGAGGGTGGAACTTAAGAAGAAGATTGGAAGTTTAATGCTCTCTTTTCTTTGCACCATGGGGTTTTGTTGTCTTAAGTACTGTTTTGGCTAATCTCTGTCATTGTCTAAGTGTCCGTTTATGGTCACTCGAATTTGCGTTAAACCTTTTGTAAGGGTGTGAGCCTAAGTGCTCGTGTAAGAGACTTTTAGGCTGTGTACATTTTTTGGGTGTAGAGGCCGGTTTAATCTATTATCTAAAAAAACACATAGGATTAAATTTAACTTCTACCATTTGCAAAAATTAAAATAAACTCTACTAGTATATGTATATTTACAGTTAAATTGTTATATTTATCGCAATTTATAAAAGTTGATTTTTTTTATATTATAAAGAGAGAGCTTGTATTATTGATGGAAATAGGGATTGTATTCCTGGTTTATTATAAAAGTCGAATTGAACTTGTGTGTTTGTAGAATATGTGTATCACATACTAGTTTATCTCATTATATATTTTTTTCAAAAAAGAACTCTTAACTATTTAGACGATGATATCCATGTAACTCGTCGATCGACAGATATTGAAAAACTTTGTGGACTACCAGGTTCATCCATACCCCTCCGGCAGCTGACGAAGCTACCCATGCTTTGCACGAGCACACACATGACACACTGTGCTCAGCTTAACCTACATATCTGCATGCGCTACGTGGCCTCGCGGGCGGCCACAGGCTGCGTCGCCAACAAAATTCAGGAATTATTTCTGGATACCGCCTGTTTCCGATGAGCTACAGAGCTAGCTATGCCGCTGCTAGAGTTTGAAGTGGGCAACATGCAGCAGCAAGGGATGGGGGCGGGGTGGCCATGTGGAACGCGTGTGGGCGGGCGTCGCATGATCGATCGATCGCTGGGTATTGATTTGTGAACAAACTGGCCAGCGGCGGCGGCCTAGCCTACGACGCCCACCTGGAACTAAGAGCAAGTTTAACAGTATTGTCAACTACTAGCCCCAATTTATCTATAGACAATCTAATAGCTCATTTATACAATAATTATATACTATATACTTACTATTAATACCTGGTCCTACCTATCATACACACGCTGCGTCTTGAGTCCGTGCTACAGCTGGCTACAAATTTGTAGTCCGCTGCCCTTCTCTCTCATTATTTATTTCCTTAAAATATGTTTGCAGCTGGCTTATAGCTTGCTATTGTACCTGCTCTAAGAGAAACGTTGTAACCAGCTGTAGCACGGACTTCAAGATACAGTGTATGTATTATAGATGGGACAATGTATTAATAGTGTACTCCCTCCCGTTTTATTTTAATTGATGTTTTGGACAATGATACAGTCAACAAAATATATGTTTGATCTTATTTTTCTAATATAAGATATATAATAAATAAATATATGGTAATTTACTTTTCTTATAGTGCTTTGAAAGACAAATATATATTTATTGTTCTAGTTCCTTTAAACTAAACATTTTTAAAGTTATTGATGGTCAAAGTTATAAAAGTTTGATCTCAACCATGTCTAAAACGTCAATTAATATGGGACCGGAGGGAGTAGTATATATATTTATAGATAACTATTGTATGAATTAACTATTAAATTGACTAGAGATGATTTAAAGCTAGTAGTTGACTATACTTAAACTTGGTCTTAACAAAGCTGCAAGTATGGAACGGTGGAACCCGAGGTGTTGTGGGGCCCGGCTGCATGAGGTGAGAGGGGCGCGTGGGTCCATGAGCTGTGGGGCTCACATATCAACCCCTCAAAGTTAGAGGGTAGTAAGTTAGAGCATCTTTTTACAAGGCGAGAGTATGGTTTGGACTTAAGACGTACAAGAGGATGGAATAATTGTTGGGCTTGTTTAGATTAGTGTCAATTTTTTTTTTTGAAACTAAGATTAGTGTCAATTTTTGACATGCTAGTATTTTGAAAGTTTTGAAAGTTTCGCAAGTTTAGACACTATCAAATTAATTGGTAGAGCTGAGTTGGTATTAGTTTAGGCAAAAATTGGTATCAAATCAATTTGTTATTTTTAAAGTTGCCAAAAAAAATGGTTGGGCAGAATTTGGCACTAATATAAACAAACCCGTTATCTCCCGCATGATTCTATTAACATGCCCAGCATAGCTTGATTGTTCTGAATAAGATGAATAATAGGTGATATGTTATTTGATTTTGCGATGGTATTTGTGGGCATAAACGAATTATGGATTAACTGTTACGAAGTTAATTGGTTGTTTTTAAAATTATCGTAAGCAATTTATACGTAAGCTTTTCTAAAAATCGCACAGTTTAGAATCTTGTTAAGCATCCTCGTGATAGTATATGAGAGGAATTAGGGCCTAATTCTGAACTGCACACAAAGGAAAACACGGTTTATTTACTACTATTTCAATATTATAAGTCGCTTTAACTTTTTTTAAAATTTTTTTAAAAAATGGTTAAATTTGTTGAAAAATATAGTAATATTTTTTAAAAAATATTATTAAAATATATTTAATTTTACATTTAATGGAACTAATTCAGTGTGTTGTGTATGTTGCTAAATTTTTCTATAGATTTAGTTAAACCTAAAGAAGTTTAATTAGAAAAAAAAATCAAAATGACTTATAATATGAGATACGGAGGAAGTAGATGGCAACTTCTGCTTATGATGGGCGATCTGATCATCTTATTCAGAAGAGCCAATCGGACCAAATGGTGCGGTGGATCTACAAAAGTTTTAGACCATAGGCAAGTATAGTTATATCAAGTGTTTACTAAAAGAAATTTATTTACAATACTATAAGTAACGCTCAAATTATATTGCATGTTCGCCAACAAGTTATGACAACTGTCCAAGGTCGTCAATTGGTGGATCTATGTTAGGTTTGCTTCGACCTTAAAACACATATTTTCTTAGCTGAAGCTTTGAAGACACATCATGGATAGTAGAATGGGGCTGTGTGGTTGTAGCCACAGTTACGACAAGATCATCTTAAGCTTGCCAAGGTGTCAAAGATTTTGACAATATAGCAGTTTTTATTGACAAATTTTGGTAGACTGATACACTATAAGAAACGTTTAGGGGTCTTTCCGACTAGCTTTACAAGGTGGTGGGTTTTGGAGCTAGCCGGTCTGGATTCGAAGCCTCGCTTATTCTATTTATTTGATATTAGGTTATTTCTTAATAATTGCGGTCTCTGATACACTAATACACTATGAGTATATGACTAACAAACAAACAGGTACATATGCCACTTAGCAATCCTCAAGCCAAAACCGAGTGCTAAAGGTAAAACACACACATACACAAACAAAAAAATAATAATTCGGTAGCTCAAACAAGTAGGCCCGTGAACACCAGATCTGACAGATATACTTGCATAAAACATAACATGCATGTTCCCAGATATCCCTTTTGTTTTCGTAGTCTACGATCGATTTGTAACTCTGGAAAGTTGGTTTCTTTAAACGAGGCATGGGTGACCTTTTTGTTCCAGAGAAAAGGAATTCAGGAGTGCTCAATTCATGCAAGTTGAAGTGTACATATCATCAAATTATTCTGTGAGGAGGAATGCAACATGTTATCCATTCTGTTTTCTTCCCATTTATTATCGAGAGACGAGTGATTGCCCAAACTTTTCTCACGGATTTTCAATGATATCATGAACAGAAGATATACATAATTAATTATTATCCTCCAGCTCGTAAACTGGCGAAATGGGTCCAAACATTCATTCAGGTCTCTACACCTACTCCTAGCTGACTGTCATTGACAAATTTGATTTGTCCCATCTCTCAAGTCTCAACCGAGCTAATGCTGAAGTAGTGTTCTGTTGTAGGAATGAAACACAACTGAGCTTGACCATTTTAAGGGCTCCTTTAAAATGCAACAATTTTATAGGAATTAGCCCAATTCCCATAAAATTTGTTTCCAAATCCCATATCTTCAAAGGAGGCCTGAAGATGTACATCACTGACCAGCCATTTCCTTTCTAGCACAGCACGAAACAACACAAATGTCCAAAGCTAGCAAATATTCAGATGCACAGGAATTGAACGCATACAAGTACACGGCACATCAAATTATTTATTATGGAGGAATGCCACAGGGTATCCATCAGAATTTTTTTTCCGCCGGGCCAGCAGCAAAGAAATGCCCCGACCGAATTTATCCATCAGAATTTTCTCATTTATATTTCAGGAAGATGTCAATGCATCACAGCCGATGGTCCAAACGTTCCATCCTAGTTAGCTAACTGTATATATTGACCTATCCGATATTCCCAACCCATGACTGGAGCAAGCAAGCAGTTCAACTCAGCTAAGCACGAAGAGGGAGGAGCTCTCAAGCCAGTATGCTACCTCCCTCTTCGTGATTCGGGGAATCAGTTCCACTATAGAAGGAGGCCTCACTTGAGGCGTCCGAACCGCCACCATTAGCCTCCTTGTCAGCGGATACATGTGAATGGTCCTGAGGCAGGGTGATGCCGTTTGATTTGAATGAAGAACCCATCTTAATGTCATCGGCTCTCATACGCTCAGCATAGCTATTGTATTCGAAGGTAGCTGGATTCCTTCCTCCGAATGCTGAGTCGAGCTTGTCCAAGTCAAAGACGTCAGCCATTATCTTCTGGCTCTCTTTATCGCTGGAGTACACAAATTTCACCTTCTTGTAGGTCTCATGGTCCAAAAATGGCTTCACTATCTGCCAACAGTAACTAATGTTAGGCTACCTTATCTCATGACAACAGAGTAACACACTAAAAATAGATTAATTTTACTGTCCTTGAGAATATGCACACTTTGTAATGTTAATTTGTGGTTCAGTACCTCAACATTAGGGAGGTACCAAAACAATACACTAGCAAGTGTGGTTGAACGGTAAAAATCCTATATGGTAAAAAGACGGAAGAAAGAATAAGTGAATAACTGTACTCTCAAGATATTTTAAGGTTGTTCTCACCTTCCAGAAGGACTCAAATATCCTAGGAGGATTGTAAAGGATTGCTAACCCAAGCCTCTCAGGGTAACAGTCTTGCAAGACGTTCACAGTCTCTCGGGTCACTTTCAGCGGTGTGCTCCCCAATGTCCAACTCTGGAAGTCTGTCAGCCAGACCATCTTCTCTTGATCTTCCGTCAGGCTCATAATTGCTTTCTCCAGACAGTAAACAAGATATTTGATCTGTCCCTTTCCTGAAGTAGTGTTCTGTTGTGTTTCAAAGTTAAACATGTAAAATCAGCACATAGCATGCAATCAAACCAGAAACTGTTGTGGCATAGCTGTCACAAAATATTGGTTCATAACAAATGATCTAACAATGCACACATGCACACACCCAATTGATTTGAGAAACAATAAGAAAAATCCGGAATAATAAAATTATAACCAAAGAGTGAGATTCTCCTTTTGGTTTTTCCAAATGCTGATTGACTTCAAGCTAAAATTGTAAAGATGTATGTATCCCTCCGTTATCCACATGGTCGATTTGATTCATAGCAGGAAGGATAACATGATAGCATTGCACACATTGTATGGAGAAGTAATTATGTCCCTTTTATCTGGAAGGTATAATCCCAATCTGATTTCAGAGCATACTAGATGGTTGGCAGATGTACAACTAATGCAGATGAGTAGATACATACAAAGTAAACAGAAAGCACGAGCTATATCAAAACAAGACTGTTATGATGTTAATGTATTCCTTTCTTCCTGCCGAAAGTGCACTAACCTCTAAGCCTGGCCTCAGGACAAGAACAGTTCTTCCATGTTTGTCCTTGTAGTCAGCCCTATATATCTTTCCTGTCTCTGCTTCATGTGCAACATCATCCTGAAGGTTGAAAGGACAATAAGATTACATTATGTTGTAAACCTGAAAATGCAGTTACTTCCTAAGTATCAAGAATGTTCTGCTTTAGCATCACAATGCTTTCTCCCCAATGATTCATAGAATGCTATCCTCCTATTAGCACAATCCTGTCTAAATTGACACTAACAGCAGTTATTCCTCCTGTCTACTCCCTCTTTCCACAAAATATAAGAATTCCAAGCGTAATTTGTCCATAAATATAAGGATTCCTATAGTGCCACTTGACCACCTCTCATTGAAATTACTTCCCACCTTACTCCCAACTACTCTTCCACCCCCCCCCCCCAACCATCCCCCATTTAGTGAGGGGCACCAAAGTCTTTTAGTCTTAACCTTAATCCCTTCTAAACAACCTAGAAATTACCTATGGCTCTCAGCATCACCAATGTTTCAGTTATAATGCTATTTCTATTACAGCCCATAAAGAAATGCATATTCAATTGATGATTAACACAAGCATACCCAGTTAATCTTTTGTGGCATATATGACACCCGCCACTTTACAGCTGACTTCATCATTTTACTTGCTTTCTGCACGTTCCAGTTTCTTGCTCGAAGAAATCTCAGGCACGAGGCATCTGAAAGGAAATCTTGTATTTCTTCTGATGAGTGTTCACCAAGCTCCTTACGCAAGTCATTTATCTGTTCATCAGTAGATAGCACAACAACAAAGTAAATGGTTCAAAGCGAGAGTAACTAAATTAAATTACGAAGAGATATACAATCAAGGGATTTTTTTCAATACCTTCTCCTGCTGCTCTTCTAGGGTCAAGTTTTTCTCTGTTGTAGCACCATTGCTTGACTTGAATAGAAAGGACATTTTAGTACCTCGACAGAGAAGGGTCCACTAGATACGGAACTGAAAAGCAATAAATATCATCAGACATCTGAAGAGTACTAAATATGCACGAACTACTTTCTGTTCAGCTTCCTTGTATGAAGGCAACCATCTGAACTAAACAACAGAATAACAGCTTATGAGGCAGGTGCGAGAAAAAAACTTGCCGTTAACAAAAATTCAGTTTCATACAAAAGATAACAGAAAGTAACAACAAATGCTACTTTAAACTGATATCAGTACATGGTTAGCTAGCTGCTACCGCATGTAATTCATACGTGGCTGGAAGAGCAGTATCCTAAATGAGAAGCATTTCACAGAATTCAGAAGGCCGTGCTTCTGAAAAACCAGCCGATTCAGTTCCACAGAAGACAAAATTGCGACCCGAAACTGATTTCTTAAGTTAAATTGACCATCCAAGATGTCACTAAGTTAAAGTAGCATCACCATATACCGTATGAGCCAGATCCGGCAACGCTAAGTTTCTTGCAGATTTTACAAGACAAGTAGCCGAGTCAAGATCACGTCAACGCAAACAATCCCGGTGGCAATTGCTACTACTACATCTTCAATCCTAGTAGCACGACACAACACAGAACGAACACCCGCAATTCGAGCACGAACAGTCACAGATCGCCGCCGTATACCTAATGCTCCTCACATCAAAGATTAGGTAGTAGAGAAATCCGATCTTTGGCCGAGTAGAAGAAAACCAACCTGGATCGATGCACCCCCAGCCCCCAACAACCGGGGAGGCTCGCGGATCAGGGCCCGCCGCCTGGGCACGACGGCGAGGGCTGGGGTGGGGAGGTGGCGCCGGCCGAGGTGGGAGAGTGGTGGTGGTGGGGGTGGGGGTGACGTGAGGAGGGCGAGAGTGGAGACGACGGTGGAACTGGAGGGTGAGGGTGGGTGGGGTTTTCCTAGGAAGGATGGTGGTGCGGTGCGGTGCGGTGCGGCTGCCGTGGCGTGGTGGTGGTGGGCGGTGGTGCGGGTGCGGGCGTGGGAGACGGGACGCGCGCCGGGTGCCAAAGGCAAAGGCCCCCCGCGTGTATGACCGGCCAAAGATGCCGGGTCAAGCGCGGGGTCGGGGTGGGGGTGGTTAAGTATGATGCGCGATCACGGGAGCGCGGAGTGTGGACTGGAATGGAGTGCACCACCCAACGAGATATTACCACTCTTAGGACAAGTACTATGAGCATAAAGCATAGTCTCATAGGTGTCACATAAGCTAAAATAGTGAGGTGGAGGAGAGAAGAGATGAAAGAGATATGCAGCCACCTCTCAGAGCATCCGCAATGGTTATCTATAGGCTCTCTACAAGATATCCAAGTCAGCATATTTTCCTATTTGAAAGAGATTAAATGAAGAGAGAGAGTAAAACTATCTACTAACCTGGAGATAGTCTATAGAAAAAAACGATGCAATAGATTAGAGAGATATAGATACCCATATAGACATACTATTAAGGTGATTTACTATTAATCTAGTCTATTGCTGAGATGTACATGTTTTATAGAAAGCACCTTACTTTACTATTGCGGTGGATCTCATGCAAGATGCAACCACCACACAAAATTCAAGACAAAAGGAGAGAGAGGAAGAGTAGATTAGGCAAACAAACATTGGGGCTAGTGTATTAGAATTAGTATAGATGTGATATATTGTACATATTACCTCTACATTTATTAGTTGATGATGTGGTCAAGATTAGATGCAACATCCACCTCTTTTATAAAACTTGCCTTTATGCTCCGTTCGGTAGTACAAGTTCCCAGCTCCTCCTCCTCGTTTTCCGCGCGCACGCTTTTTTCAAATTGCTAAACGGTGCGTTTTTTTGCAAAAAGTTTCTATACGAAAGTTGCTTAAAAAATCATATTAATCCATTTTTTTAAAAAAATAGCTAAAACTTAATTAATTACGCATTAAAACGCTGTTTCGTTTTGTGTGCCGGGGAGTGGGCTCAGGCACAGTAGACTATAAGCTAACTTTAAACATATATCGATAATATAAAAGAGGAGGGAGAAGAGTAGGCTACAAATTTATTCAGCTGAAGCACGAACTCGAATACAAGTATTTGTATGACAGGTGGAACCATATAAGTATATGTTTATAGATAACTATTGTATGAATTGACTATTAAGTTGGTTATAAGTGATTTGGAGCTAGTAGTTGGCTATACTATTAAACTTGCTCTTACATGGGTAATTATTAAAGATTTATCACTGAACTACGAGTAATAAATCTTTAATTGTTATATTTAAAAGTGGCAAATAAAAGAGTGCTCGCACAAGATTTTTTTTTCTAAAACTAGTTTTACATGCAATACGTTATACGTGATCGTGAGATTTTTTTTTCTTTCACTTTTCTTGAGAGTTTTTTTAAGATAGGTTTTTAAGGAAGGAAGGAGAACAACTAAGCTGGTGGTTTTTTAAGTTCCTTTTCTTAAAAAATATAAAGAAATATAGCGGTTTTTTAAGAAACACTACGCTTTTAAACTACTTCAGTTGCCTTTGTTTTTATAATTTTGTAGAAATACATTATGTTTTAAAAATATACCCGTGTCACCGACCAACGGGAGATTAAAACATCGATTTTGCTATATATATATGTCGACAAATTTTTCCCTAAAAATTTGACAGATGTAATTACAGTACAATCGTAGTGTAATTACACTGTAACTTGCATGTAATTACACTGTAACTATAGTGTAACTTGTATGTAACTTTCAAAAATCTCTCTGTAACATGTTATTTCGGTAAAATGGAGGTCGTGGGAACAAATTCTTTCACATACGTGTGTGCTATGATTTGTTTTCTTCCTCACCAAAACAAATCTTGTAATAGATCTAACGATTCAAAATTATGTGAAACTTACATATAAGTTACACTGTAGTTACATGCAAGTTACAGTGTAATTACATATAAATTACAGTGTAATTACACTACAATTGTACTATAATTACATCTGTCAAATTTTTGGAGAAAAATTTATCGACAAATGGATAGGTAGTCCCTTAAAACATTGTTACCTCTTGATCGAGCGACACTGGGCCATGTCGTTTCTCAATTGAAAAACAGCATAACTGACACTAGCTAAGACGGCAAGACGCAACAGGCAAGTGAGCGGAGGAGCACCTAGCACAAGCATATGCCAGCAGGCGGTGGTGCGGCGCGTGCGAGCAAAGTCACATTGAGGACACAGTCTCACCCAGTAATCCGATGTATGATATGCTCTGTTCAGGAGACGCAAAACGAAGTCTCTATTATTGCATGATTAATTGAGTATTTGCTTTTTTTAAAAAAAAATAGATTAATATGATTTTTTTAAAGCAACTTTCGTATAGAAATTTTTTACAAAAAAACACACCGTTTAGTAGTTTGAAAAGCGTGCGTGTGGAAAACGAGGAAAGGGGGTTGGAAACTACTACTACCGAACGCAGGAACACGAGGATCGACTCCTCTCAATCAGCAATAAATGTAGGGCTTGTTTTGCGTCGGTAGGACATGAGGATGTTTGTTTGTTACAAAATTTCTGAAGATATATTCATACAAACTAGTGTAAAAGGTTTATTTTCTCCATTTTTAAATATTTGCACTGAGGCACTATTGATACGTGCTTTGACAACTTTTTTCTTTAAAAACATAAATACTTAGAATATAAAACATCTTCTTTTGTCAAAGTTTGTTGTGCGCTGAACATCTTAGCTAGTGAAAAGTAAATTCTAAAATGCTTCTGGGATGAGCCACATCATCCAGTGAACAATGGTTATTGCATCAAGAAAAAGACAAAATAAAAGAGAAGAGAGTTGAGCCATCAATTATAAAGGGAAAAATGGATGATGAATTTCTGGAACCTTCCAACAATTTGGAAATGAGAGAGAGAAAGAGCAAAGAAAGAAATGTAGCATTGGAAAAGAGTGGGGGAGTCAGCTAGCTTATGGCATGTGATAATTTTGCACTATGCACACTCAGTAGAAATTATGTTATAAATAAAATCTCATCCTTTATTTATAAATAATAATTCGAATTTTTTTATAAATGGACTATCGGCTTATAGGCTTATATTTTATCTATAGATAATCCTTACAACCTACTAATTCCAAATTACTGCTGTAACTTGAATGTCACAATATCACATAACATACTAATAAAATTTGCTATGATTTTAATGTTATACTTTGGTTCACTTCTTTAGCATAAAAGCTAATAGGTTGGGCTTAAGAATGAGTGTTTCACCTACAGATACGCTTTCAGGTTATAGCTGATCAACTACACTTCTCTCAACACATACTTAACATAATGAAACGATGTTTATTGTTGCCAATTTAAATTACATGCTCATGTACACATATAACATGATGGTTAAAGTCGCGCGAACAAGCGACATTATATGCTAGTAAAGTTGATGGATGATTTGGTTTGAAGCCAAAACTTGCATACCAAAATATTGGCATTTTAAACGGTCATTTTGGTAATGTTTGGTTTGTTACCAATCCTTGCCAATACCACATAAATATTGTCAAAATATTGGCATTGGCAAAAACTTACCTATAATTTGGCATCGCCAATAGTTTGGCATAGTTACAAACCAAACAAGACCTGAAACTTTTGTTCATTGTAGCCTACCCATCTTAAAATTACTATTAGGAAAAATTGAAATATATAGTAAAAATTTGAAATTACCAAGTAAACGCTACCGGAGGGAGTATGTTTCTTTTTTTTAAAAAAAAAAAGAAAAAAAGGAAATCTCCGCCAGAACGCCACCCGGCATCGTCTGGACTCTGGATCCTCCTGGATCCATGCTAGAGGCCTAGAGCCATAGATTACTGATTTATTGTACATACTTTCAACATGGCAGATGTTCTTCTCGAATGGCTCTCGGCGTTTTGTTAACACAAAGGGGCGTAATGTGTCATGTCGAGTTGTCAACGAAGATGGTAGAGGGATTCCATCAGGCTGAGCGCAGATCGGAATCTATCTATGAGTATAAATGATAATGATGTGGATACAGTTAATTACTAATGACGTGGACACGCTTTAAGATGCTCTAGTCTCTTTCACAGGTCAAATCTCGTGTTCAATAGTACTATAGGAGTAGCAGCCAAGGAGCAGTTTAGTTAGTATTATGTACTCCTCCGTCTTAAAAAAAATTCAACCTAGGACTTTGATGCGACATAATATAGTACAACGAATTTGAAGAAACCTAACTCCTCTTTTTTTTCATCCTCCTTTTTTTTCTCTTCCAAATTTCTCTCTCCATAAATATTTTCATTTTGAAATTATCATTGTTTAAGATGTGTAGCGGCAAGTTTGTTCTCATGCAAATGCTTTTCATCTACAGTAAAAAAAACTTTCACTAATTGAATAATCAAAATTTCAATTTTTGGTCAATGAGGTATAGCAAAATACATATGCGACGAATTATGGAATAGCCACTCGATCGATTTTGTGAGGCTATTAAAAAGTGTACGTAAAGGATTCTCCGTGTGATGACGCATGAAGCAAGTGTAATTGGGCTCAATGCTATATATGATTTCTGACTTTGTTTTGCCATTATTTTATTTATCTTGTTTCAGTTTGTCATTTAAATTGGCAGAGTTTCTACCCATCGTAAAAATTATCTTCAAACCCAACGCCATTTTTGCTAGTTATAAACTTATAAATAAAGAAAGCGCTGGCCTGCACCTGTCTGGCCCAATCGGCTGGGCTTGCACCCACTCTTGGGCCTTGGGCCAGTGGGCCGTAAGGGAAAGAGAGAGGAAGACACGAGCTTTTCTCCTCCTCTTCCTCTCCCTTCGCCCGCGGCGACAACCCTGAACCCTCCTCTCTCTCCTCCACCACCTCCCCTGCGACCAGCGGCGCGCGGCAGCGGCAGGCGGCCACCGGGATGGCGTCGTCGTCGGGGACGAGGGAGGTGCTCATGCTGGAGGCCCCGCCGGCGCCCTCCGGGGCGCCGTGGCGCGCGCCGCCGGACGCGGAGGCCGTGGACGCGCTGCCCTACATCGACGGCGACTACGGCGACCCGGCGGTGAAGCGGGAGGTGGACCGGATGGTGGAGGAGGAGATGCGGCGCGGGAGCCGCAAGCCCGCCGACTTCCTCCGCGACCTCCCCCCCGTCCCCGCCATCGGGTTCGAGGTAGATTCGCGATCTCTCATCTCCTCTCCTCTCCTTGTGGGTTCTTGGAGCAGCTCTAGTTCAGCGTCGGGGTCGTTGCGTTCAACTATCTTTTCAGGCGAAAAAAAATAGAACTGTATCTTTTCTTTCGAATGTGATTCGCGTTAGGGTTATAGCTACTTGTAAGAATGAAACGGGTTAGAGGCTGGGGGGTGTATAGGGTTAGTAGTTGTGTACTCGAAAGTGAGAGCACATTGCTAAATACTGTACATTATCCTCCTTTAGAACTGTGCTTATAACTATGTTTTGGTGGCGGAATTTTGGATTATAGTTGAGCTAATTAACTGAGTATATGTGGCTTGCTTGGATTTGTATAGAACTTTTTTTTTTGTAAAGCTTAATGTTTTGCTCTGCTATAATGTCTGTATGTTAACGTTGATCCTGAAAAGAACAAGAGAGTATTTTTTTCTGTTGCCACATGCTTCAATTGATTAGCTCGTATGGAGGACAGATGCCTGATGGTCCGTGCCTTCAAATTTTCTGAAATAATAATAATTGATAGTTTTGACTAGATCCACCCTGCTGCAAACAGAAAAGCAACATATTTTGGCTGCAAATATTTAACTTTTTTACTTAGCAACATTTCTTGACCACCAAATGAACCTATTGATTTGATCGGTTACTTGAAATTAAGTATACAATTTGAGGCACCAAGAACTGAAATATAAGCTCTTTTCCATGTTCTGTGTGCATTGAGCTAAACCGACAGGCAATTTGAACCTGTGGCAGTCAATAATATGACCTAAGGTATCAAAAGTGCACACGGCAGTCAATGAAGAATAGTTATTATAAGAAAAAAGAACTAAATTGAATGGGCATTCACGCTTTGATGATTTCATCTAAATAATTCTTATGAGATGTACCAGTCTAGGTGTTTGCATCATATTAACTCTGCTCCATAATAGTTGTCTTAGAGCTCAGAGAGCAAGGAAAGGGTTAATACCTTTTTTTTCACAAAGTTTGCCCTTTTGGATGATATAATCTGTGCTTATCTGTGCAATTGAGTCATATTTGAAGATACATACAGCCATTTAATTCGTTGTAGGCTTGTATTGCTTATTGAAATTATACAAAATATTTGAATCACAATTTGGGTTTCATTTTTTTAGAACTTATGCCTCATCATGTGAATATGTTTACAACCTTATGAGTTTTTATTATTTGATACTCATTTTGCACATCTGTTCTAGAATCATCCTATGCTTGCTAAAGAGTACGAGCGTGTTAGAGCTGGGAAACCTCCTGCTACCATAGAGATGTCCCGCTATGGTTTGGAGCCACCCCCAGCGAACAAGAGGAATGATGTTGCTGCATGGAGGCAGGCTCTAAGAAATGCTCAGAGCCAGCTGCACCATCAAATCATAAGGTAAGAGTAGAGAGCCACAGGGTACTGAACTAATGAAATTTACCATCAAAGGTGCAGTATCGTTGAACGTTGTGCATTTGATTGTGATAGGATCACAGGGACCAGTGTCTTCCTGTGGCATGTCCTTTTGATAATTTTTCATTACCATAATAGCTTTTAAGCTTTCCCTGGTGTGGAAAACATAGACTTCGAGAATAGTATCAGAGTAGATAGGATGGGCTGCTTGACAAAGGTTTCTGCAGTCTGTTTAAAATAACAAGCAGTATTATTTTGATAAAAGAGCATGTTTTTTGGATACACTGACAATTTGTAAATTGGAGGATTGTATAATGCTCATAGCAGAAGACTTTTCCTTGTACTTTACTAAATGTATCTTGGGTAAATTAAGATATTTGATCATGTATTGCCTAATATCAGCTTCAACAGTTTACTTGACAATGGGAGCTCCTAGGTTAGTTATGATTGAACATGTAAAGCTTCGATCATGTTACTTCAGAATTCGACTGCTGTACGCACTGTGTAGGATATACTGCTTTTTTCTGACCATGGTTTCTTATCATCTATGGAGTCAGCATACTTCTATGCTATTATTAGTTTTGAAATAAAGTTAATATTGCAGGATAGAGAATCTGGAGCTTATGCTGAAGTATGGTGTTGAGGTTTGGAAGCTTCAGAATAGACAAATGGAATCAGTTTTGTCTAGGTAGGCTATTGTGACATAAGTTTATTATCTTTGAATTTGGAGCTACGTATCCTGTGTTATTCATGAGATTCATTTAGAGCCATTTCAGTACTCCTGTTTGTAGACTCTGGTCTCATATGTTGATAGTGTAGCTTAGCTGTTTAAACTTCCAGTAAAGCACTTATTTTGATATTTGAAGCACTTATTTCGACATTCTTGTAAGTCTCAATGCTACTTATCACTGTAACAATATGGATGGTAGATTATTTTTATGCCTGATTGCATGGTATCTAAGATGTCGAATATAGCATTTATCATTCTAGCAGCATATGATGGGTTGATCTCTTTATAGGATGCAAAAGATGGCTGTCGAATACAATGAGAAGATAGAAACTGTCAACCGCGAGAGGAAATTTCACCAGGTAATTATATTACTCCTGCTCTTGTTCTTAACCACGGCATATTTCACAGCCAAGCTGATCATTTGTGTTTTGATCAGCAAAACACTGGTGGTCAACTCCATGCCTTGACGACGGAATGGCAGGAGCTGTGTCAGAAAAATATAGCTATTCAAGCTGCATGTGTTGATCTGCAGAATCAGATTGATCAGCTTAAACTTGGAGCTAAAGAATTGTACTCCCCCTCTCTCCCTACTTTCCTCCCTCTCTCTCCACATCCACATGACTAACAGATTCCTTAACAGGGGAATGCCCATCGATGACAGCACCGGAACTAATCAGCAAGCATCATCAGCCATTTGAGGTACTATTTGTTATTTTGTTCTCAAAGAAAGCAGTATTCTTAGGAGTATTGAAGTTAAGTCAAGAGACAAAATCTACCTTCATCATGCTTACAAGTTTTTACCACAGCACAGATACATAGGTAGCAATGGAGGTGAGACAATTCCATGAGATGGGAGCTGGAGGTTTCCATCAAGGCACATCTTTTTGCATGATCTGCAGTTGCCAAATCCAAGATAACAATCTAGGCGATTACCTTGACAACCCGCACTTGTGATTGTATTCCGTTATCCATTTTTCGAGGACTTGTGTGCATATGGAGACCTGATAGAGAAACAGATCGTATGCATGCTGTGTTTCTGTTCCAAGTGATCTAACCTGTGTGAGAGGCAGAAATCTCATCACTGAAATAGAATGTACCTTGACATTGAAGCGTCAGTTAAGGTTTTTGTTATTTATGTTGACATGTTTGTGTACTCTTCCTGCTGTTACCATACAGTTTTACTAAACATGAGTTGTACTAACCATGGAGGTTGATATGGAAATAATTACTACCTCCATCCTAACATAGAAGTACCGACAGGATCTTTGTTCAGATCACTAGTAATAGGAGATGGTCCATTCCATCCATCCGGTTTTAGGTTTTTATATTTTGAAATGGACGTAGTATTATACTTAGCATGTCATGGATTGAATTATTGAAGTAAGCCCCCACCTTCCTGGTCGGCGTAGTCCCTTGAGGCCATCTCTAAGTTTGTAATGAAAAACAACTATAGTTCACCTAGAGCGTGAATACTCTATTTTGATTTTATGAACCACACCTCAAAAGAAAATCTTAGTTTTGAAAGCACTAAAGCAACTAGAAGTTCATTTTCCGGCATTTATTTTTTTTGTTTAAAAAAATACTCCATGTAAGAAACAAATCTTCAGCTTTAAAACCAAACATTATTCAACTACTATAAAAGCTATCAAATTTAACCTTCAACATGGTTTCTTCTCATGTTGAAGAAATGTTTTTGAGTTATTTTAAAACACAGATAGATCATATGATCCAATTAACCCTATTCTGTGAAAGGGCATCTAGCCTAATGGTTACAAGAGTCTCAGTAGCACCTGAGTAGGGGTGGAACTGAGCTGGAAACAAGATAAAACTTGAGCTCGGCTCGGCTCATTTCCTGGCTGCAAGCCTTCTTATTGAAACACCTCTTCATATATATTTTATAATTATTAGAAAAAGTAAAAACAAATCATCAACATATAAAATTTAAATAAGTTTGTTTATTCAATTCTTCAAAATCTTAATGATAAATTTCAAGTTGACAAATAATAACGCCATATAAAGTAAAATAATCGATATAAACACACGATGGCCTAGGCTCACGAGCCAAAACAAGCGGCTCGCGAGCTAGCTCGGCTCGGCTCATTTTCAGCAACGAGCTGAAAAGGAGGCTTGGGCTTGGCTTGTTTGGCTTACGAGCCGAGTCAAGCCAACCAAGCTCGAGCCAAGCCTAAGCTGAGCTCACGAGCCTAAGCTTTTTTTTCCACCTCTACACCTAAGGTCCTGAGTTCGACACCCCATGGGAACGAATTTTCTAGGATTTAGCGGCGCTGTACTTTCAGTGGTAGGCGACGTACCCGTCGACAGCGAGGTGCTGACTTCATCAATCTCTCCAGGATTTGCCGGCCTAGTCTTCGAAGATGCTCATAGGGGTAGGGTTTGCGTGCGTGTGTTCATAGGGTGAGTGCGCGTGCGTTGAGAGTTTCTGCGTTGTACTGTGTAATTCAAAAAAAAAAAAACCCTATTCTAGCTACAAAGAAATAAGCATCGAAACACAAAGGTTCATTTGAAAATCTCTGAAATTTCATCAAACACCCCTGTCCAAAATTCATAAAAAAAATTTGAGCTGTGGCGCCATCTCCCATCCCACCCAGCTTTTGCTGTACCACCATGCCGCGACCGGAGCTACACTCCAATCTCCCACTCGATCCCCACAAAAACAATTTGGGTAAATTCGACAACGCCGCTACACTCCAATCTTCCACTCGCATCTCATCTCGCATCAACCATGGCCGCCGCCGTCGCCGCCGCCGCCTGCCACTCCCCGGCGCGCCTCGTGGTCACCTGCTCGAGCTCCGCCACGCCCGCGCCGCCGCGGCGCCCGCTGCGGGTGGCCGTGGTGGGCGGCGGCCCCGCGGGCGCGTCGGCGGCCGAGGCGCTGGCGTCGGCGGGCGCGCAGGCGTTCCTCCTCGAGCGCAACCCGTCGGGCGCCAAGCCCTGCGGCGGCGCCATCCCGCTCTGCATGCTCGACGAGTTCGCCATCCCGCGTGACCTCGTCGACCGCCGCGTCACCCGCATGCGCGTCCTCTCGCCGTCCAACCTCGCCGCCGACTTCTCCCGCGCGCTGCCCCCGGGCGCCCACATCCCCATGCTCCGCCGCGAGGTGCTCGACTCCTTCCTCCGCCGCCGCGCCGCCGACGCCGGCGCCACCCTCGTCCCGGGCCTCGTCACCTCGCTCTCCCTCCCCGCCGACCCCGCCACCGACCCTTACCTCGTCCACTACATCTCCTCCGACTCCGGTGGCCCCTCCTCCTCCCGGTGCGTCCTCGAGGTCGACGCCGTCATCGGCGCGGACGGCGCCAACAGCCGTGTCGCCCGCGAGGTCGGCGCGGGGGACTACTCGACGGCCATCGCGTTCCAGGAGCGCATCCGCCTCCCCGACGAGGCCATGGCCTACTACGACGACCTCGCCGAGATGTACGTCGGCGGCGACGTCTCCCCGGACTTCTACGGCTGGGTCTTCCCCAAGTGCGACCACGTCGCCGTCGGGACGGGCACGGTGGCCGCCAAGCCGGAGATCAAGAGGCTCCAGTCGGGCATCCGCGCGCGCGCGGCGGGCAAGGTCGCCGGCGGCCGCGTGGTCAGGGTGGAGGCGCACCCGATCCCGGAGCACCCGCGCCCCCGCCGCGTGGTGGGGCGCGTGGCGCTCGTCGGCGACGCGGCGGGCTACGTCACCCGGTGCTCCGGCGAGGGCATCTACTTCGCGGCCAGGTCGGGGCGCCTCTGCGGCCGCGCCATGGCCGACGAGTGGCGGCTCACCGGCGCGGTGACGGAGGCCGGGATACGGGCGGGATACCTCCGGCGGTGGGACGACGAGTTCCGCCCCACGTTCCGGTTCCTGGACCTGCTGCAGCGGGTGTTCTACGGCGGGAACGCCGGGAGGGAGGCGCTGGTGGAGATGTGCGCCGACGAGCACGTGCAGCGCCGGACGTTCGACAGCTACCTGCACAAGCGGATGGCGCCCGCCGAGCCGTGGGGGGACCTCCGCCTGCTGTGGCGCACGGCGGCGGCCATGGTGCGCTGCGGCGTGCTCGGCAGGGAGGTCGAGCGCCTCCGCCGTCTCGAGCAGCAGGCCGCCGACCAGGTGCTCCTCCGCCATTGAAGATGTGTGTACTGCTCTGCTCTCTCTCTTTCTCATGTTTTGTAGTAGCAACTCTGCATTTGCAAATTGCAATAGTATCTTACATAAAGATGCTGCTGCTAGTAATAAGCATGGTAATTTTTGGGATGCTTTAACTTCTAAGCAATAATATGACATTTTTATTCAGTTTAGTGGAAATCCCAGTTGTCATGAATTCGTGATGATTGTTATGTGTACCAGTACTCAACACATAGGGAATTTAGTGGGCATTAGCAACGATTAATTGAGGAAAAGAACTGCATTACTCGGGTATATCGTATATGAATATATGATATAGTTCAAGCTGACAATTAGTCTCTTAATAATACCGGAAGGGGTTGTAGAGAGTAGCTAGGTAACATAACAAACCAGATCTGAAAAGCCTAACGAAGAAATACAATATATTCAACGAACACTCCAGTGAAATAATAATCCAAATCTCAGTATCAAAATGACCATCTCCTCCGTTCTCCAGAAAATGCAACTGCTATGTAATGTGGTATTCTGGTCATCCAATCAGGCCTGCAGTCAATTGAAAGATGAGAGCGTGACAGATACTGTAAAAAGAACAAAACCACCAATCAAATTTTATCAATATAACAAAACTTTGGAAAAAGAGTTGGCATAGCTGTGTTCGGGAGGAGGGGTTGGTCACCGGCACGCAAAACAAAGCTCGTATTGTTGCATGATTAATCAAGTATTAACTTTTTTTTTTGAAAAATAGATTAATCATATAGAAAGTTTTTCCATAAATCACACCGTTTAGCAGTTTGAAAAGCGTGCGCGCAGAAAACGAAAGAGGTGGGTTGGGAAAATGGGGGGAAGAACACAGTAAGCTTCAAACCATGTACCACCATCTTTCAAACACCCTCATGGTACAATTGCATGACAGAGTAATGTGGTAATGGCACATAGGAACTACCTTGTTTGCAATGTTGCTCGAGAGCCAGTCAAGGCCCTCATATAAACCCTCTCCTGTTGTGGCGCATGTACTCTGGATATACCTAAATGACAGCAAAATCCAACAGGTTATGATATGTAAAAATAGCATAATATTTTCAAGGAAAAAAACGAAAGTTATTGATCCATTGTTAAGGTGATTCTATTCATCATGTAATAATGAGCCACATAATTGTATAGGTGAACATCACTAAAAAGTTTTATAGATCTAGGATGGTTCTTGGTGAAAATATGTAAATGGCATAAGATACATACGGAGTAACACAGTTATTCACCCCCTATGACTATTTAGTTGATAAAAAAGAGTTGAACCACAAAGTGGAGTAAGGTAAACCAAAAGGCTGATTCATTAAAATATTAAAACATAAAGTTTAAAATTGAAAGATAGAAATCGACAAACCAGAATACAAGACCATCAAACTTAGAACAAAAATAGGAATGGATGAGATGAGAAGTAGACAGCCTACAAGTGACAACAAAAGCAACCATATATTACCAGTGGCGTTGGCGCAGGGAATGGAGACCAAGCTTATCTGTGATCTCAGCAGCATTCATTGCATTAGGAAGATCTTGCTTGTTAGCAAAAACCAGCAACACCGCATCCCTCAACTCATCCTGCAAATGCCATATGACTGAATGCTTAAAGCAGTGATTGAAAAGAATTTGTATATGTATGTAACATAGTCCAAGTGTATCTGAAAGCAAAATTCAGGATTCTAATTGCCTAAGAGGATAGATTCCTTAACCATATGGAACTAATACCTAGCAACATTTTGCATAGGCATGTCTTAACTTTTAAGCTCTGAAAAGCATATGCTATGTGTGTAATAGTGTGTATTAGCATACCATGGCATATTTTGGACAGCATATATTTATTTTTAAAATTCTGGGCAAACGGTATAGTAACAAAAAATTATGAGGATATGTCGGAAGTGTAGGAACATGCCCAATATCTCTATTGATGAGTTAATAAGTATTGCAAGCTTAGGAAAAAAACTTAAACCTACTACCACTTATGAGGTTATCTGAAAAAAAAAGGGTACTTGTGTATGAATATGACGAACTAACAATAAAATATGTGACATCAGAAAATGAGTATTTTATGATGGTATATCCAATTTACTCATTTTACTAAATGTCATGGAATGGTGCCATACTATGTTGTCTTGTGAGGAAAAATTGGCTGCACTTAAACTAAAATCAGTATGCGTTATTCTGACATTTATAAATCAAGTCACTGATGATGCATCCTGCTGCACAAACTATTTGGAGGTGGTTATATGCTTAACAAGAAATAGGATGAAGTTAACAAAACCAAAAGGCATGTTCAGCATACATCTTATATGACAGAACAAAGTTATCCATGTAACAGGTTAAGCCAGAAACATGAACATGATCCTTAAACAAAGTTTACCTCATTAAGCATCCTGTGGAGTTCATCCCTTGCCTCAACCACACGATCTCTGTCGTTGCTATCAACAACAAAGATGAGACCTTGAGTGTTCTGGAAATAGTGCCTCCACAAAGGTCTGATCTGTAGTTTAGAAAACATAATGTTATGAGAAAAAAAGTTTCTAAAACCCTAGAGCTGTGGCCATATATTAGTATGAAGTTCATATATTCCCTACTGTCTGATGTGTTTAAAATAGTCCAATACAGCACAATGGAAAATCTACTGCTGATTGCAGAAATACCTTCTGAAGCGAAAAGTGATTTTGGTTACAAAAAGCAAGAACGAATTGGTTTTTACCTTGTCTTGACCCCCGACATCCCAGACAGTGAAGCTAATGTTCTTGTATTCAACAGTCTCCACATTAAACCCTAGACATCAAAGAAAAACAGTAACTTGATTTGCTCTCTTTACAAGCATTATTTCAAAAATGAAAAACTATCTCTCATCTGTCTAACAGTAATATTTTGCACTTGCACATAGAGCCATACAAGCGTGCAACCATGTTTGTTCATATTTCCAACATTATCAGGTTGCAATATGAAAATGGATACAAAATAATGCAAGTGAGCCACTAAATACAATTGTAAACTAAGACATCCACCAAGCCACCAATGGAAGGAATCCAGCCCTTTTTCATACAAGGGACCTTACTTCTATGTGATCTGTTTTTCTTTTTGACTACACTATAGTTTGAACCCAACTTACCGACAACAAAGTAGGAGTATTTGAATGTACTTAACAGACACATCCAGTCAAAACATATAAAATATCAAATAGGTTTTTACCTATTGTTGGAATGGTGGTGACAATCTCTCCAAGCTTGAGCTTGTAGAGAATTGTGGTTTTACCAGCTGCGTCGAGACCGACCATGAGGATCCTCATCTCCTTCTTGGAGAAGAGGCGGCTGAAAAGCTTCGTGAAAGTGAGGCCCATCTTGCCGCAGTTGTGCAAGACCTTAAACAATCAAGAATCAATATGAGATATGATACAAAAGCACATGCAGCAAAGTTCTTAAATCTCAGCTCAGATAATGTAAGACCAAAACCAAAATGGGCTCCATAGTTCAGTTAGTTAAATCACAATTCATTCAAACGAACCAGATCTTTTGCAAACGAGAAAAGTATATAAGGATATCGACATTAAGAAGTACTCCCGTCATGCCGTTGTCTTTTAACATGACGTTTGACATCTTACTAAAAAAATTATATAAATACCATAATTTTGTTGTAACTTGTTTTATCATAAAAAAACTATAATATTAACTTAGTACTTTTACATATTTATACTAAATTTTTAAATAAGACGTTATGCGAAAAGTCAAGAGCGTGCGTTATACATAAAAACCTGAGGTATTATTTGAAACGGCACCGTGATCCCTCAGGCAATGCAAAGAAAACAGCATCTACAGACTATGATTTCACATCCCACGAGTAAACAAAATTCACAGACCAGTCTGCTGTGCGAAGGATCTATGCAATGCAACGCAACGCAACACGATGCCACTGGAATTAAAATGAACAATATACAAGTCTAACACGTGAAAAGGGGTCGGCAATGGAAACGGATAGGCGATCACCTCAGCCAAAGCAAACAACGGATCGCCGACCAGAAGCTCATCTACGGACTAACAATTCCGCACCCCACGCACGAACGAATTCCGCGGACTTGTAGAGGCCTCCCAAGGATCTACGCAACGGAACACAACACACAGCACCACGCCATTTTCTCGAGGAAAAAAAATTCTGGATCGAACCGAACGAGATCTACACACGCGCGACGCCATTGGAAGTTTACGCACCACACGCTACGAACTCACTCGGCTACACAGATCTACGCCTCCACTCCACGGATCTGGGCCTGGGCAGCAGCAGCAGCATCGCCGATTCGCCGCCAGCGCCAGCGCCACCGCATCCCTCCCCAGCAATGCCCCGAGGGCGAGGCGGAGATCGGAGAGGAGAGGAGAGAGGGAAAGGAGTTGGGCGTACCAACCTTGCTGGAGATCGATCTCGTGCGCGCGCGTGGCCTCTCTCATCTCCTCCCCACCTCGTCGAGCCGAAGAAAAAGGAGACGACGCCTCGACGCGCGGTGGTTGCAGCGGAGGGAGGCTTCGAGCCGCCGCGGTGGGTGGACGCGGTCTACGTGAGCCGGGTGTGGTGGACTGGTGGTGGTGGTGGTCTAGGTAGAGTGCGGTGCACGTGAGACGGGTGCAGGAGAGAGCGGTGCTTCTCATTTGAAGCTTCAACGTGCAACCGACGCTTTCTCTAAGTTTCATTTTTTAAACCATTTTAAAATTGAGGGAGCTTCTAACTTCTCCCAGCTGTCCCAAATAGTCTAGATTTTCATTTAGATTTCAAGAATTTGTAATTGTAGAATCCAGAAAATGAACTAAAATTCTCATAAGTTGACTACCAACCAGTTGTTTCTTAGAATTTTTAACTTTTCAATCAGGACCAAAACCAAAAAGTCTACAATGTCCTCACTTTATCAAATTCTAATATAATTATTCATCTGCAATTATTTCTCATTTTTTATTTCCAATACAATTATTCTTTATGTTCACAAACTCCGATGCAATGATTATTTTAAAAATAAACTTATTATGGAACGGAGAGAGCATATAAGCATGTGTACATGTATAAAGTCGTATAAAATTCAAATGTTTAAAGTCAGGGTGGAACCCTTGGCCATGATACCAATAGGAAAATTCGATTGGGCTGTGTACCCAAAACGTTGGGGCAGAGCTGCAAATTTATTGTGAAGATGCTGTTGTTCCGCTAGTTTGCAGTCACAATTCATTCAGACGACCCAGATCTTTTGCTCGAGTATACAAGATGTACACATATAAAGTCGTGCAGAATTCAAATGTTTAAGGTCAGGGTACTTGGGATGTAAAGTGTTCTCTAGCACAAAATATATTTGGCATGTGCGCGTTGGAAATACAAAATATTCACTCTGCTCATAAGATAAAATTAAATCAATCAATACCTAAACACATGAGAAAATAGTTCAATTCTCCAACATCACTTCCCCACACCTTGAAAACTAGGAAAATAAATACATACGATCTCCTAAATATCAAAAAGAAAAATAGATACATTCTCCTCTCCCTAAACTGTAGTTCACTCTTTTCATTTCATCTCCTATATTTCTACAACATACTATTATAAAATATAAAGGCGACGAAGAGACGAACTGAAGAACATGAATCAAGTCTTCGGACTGGGATTCACAGCATCAGAATCAGCGACCAGGCCAATCTGCATAGGGAAGATGCCATTTCAGTCACCAGGGTGCTCCACAGCACCTCATATATCTGTCTGTATGGTATAATCCTGATCTTTTTGAAGAACTTATGATATCACCAAATACTTGCAATCCAATAAATAAGATCTTGTAGGGTTAATGCTCCTGCTGACGCTATCTAAAGCCATATTGCCACTAAAGAAATGAATTTACTGTCTTGTTTGCTTCTAACGCCGCCTCAATATCCGGCAAAGCAACAGAATAGATGTGCTACTATTCAAACCCTAGAATTGGCCCCAAGAAATGGGAAAACCAAACAAAATGCAGCATGCAAAGAGGTCAACTTTTCCTTAGCTCATTTTCTCTTGATTTTCTTGCATTAGTTTCTCCAGTTCCTTCTGCCCAGTAGATATCAGTGTCTTCACAGTATCGAACGCAGTCAGTTTAATACTGCATGGATTGAGGAATACTGTGAGCAATGAGAAGTTACGTGCCAGTAAACATACTATTACCTATCAGTGTTGCCATAAATTTAAATATATAGTTGACCACCACTGTGAAAAGAAAAGGCACCTGCTATTTGGTAGATTTTTTAATGCATTTGGAACAAAACCTCTGTATAGTCCAATTAGACCATCACGTTCCACAATGCCTGCATTCAGCAGAGACAAATTTAAGAAATGCTTCAGTTTAGCCCATAAAGGACAAGACCAAGCTACAAGTGAGCATGTAGAACTGGCATCTGAGAGCTGAAGTGAACGTTATGCAGTAAGTAAAAGATGATGTTTATCCAACACCAGAAGGACTATATATAAATCAGCTACCTGGAATAGCATCCAAAACCGTGTTGTAGGGTGATCCTTTCATTTGCATCTGCCTTCTAACAGTGTCCAGAGGATAACACATCAAAGTTGCAAATGTTGCTGAAAGAAGAGCAGTTGCCAGAGATGTCTCTGGTCTACTCTTATACTTCTCTGGTACAGATTTCTTCATTCTTACATACAGAAAAGAATAGAGGGTGAGGTGAATATCTACTTTTGAGACCAACTTTTTTATATGATGAGGTAGAAAGAATCTCACAAGTCAAAAACACAGAAGTTCACAGCAATGTAAGGGGCGATTCCTATAAGAGACGGACCCAGGCCTCCATAGAAGGAGGCCAAACCTTCGTCTCTCAGCATGTTCATAGCAACCTAAAAGTTAAGTCATCAGGTTACATTAATTTCCAGAAACGAAACTCAAGCTTATAAACTAGTTACCTGAGACATAGTACTATGTCCAGATTGAACTGCTAGCCTCAGCCGAAGAACATCCAGTGGGTAAGTTACCTATCAGCAAGTAGCCAAGTATATATAGAAGTTTCATAATGATCAGAACACAAACAAACAAATCAAACTAGATATAAGGACAATTGCTCAGGAGTAAATAAATAAATTACAAGTGTAGATGTCATGCCCGCACAAGCACCAGCAGCAAGTCTCCCAAACACAGTAAGCTCTCCGTCCTTTCTCCGGAAAAATTTCTGAATGCAAAGCAGGTACATGGAAATTGAAATGACAGGAATCCAAAATAGGTAATTGACTGATGATAAAGAGTTGGCGTTATCACCTTGTAAACTTCATAAGAAAACAGTTGCACCGCACTGTAAGGAACTATGCGGATAACCTTAAGTAGTTTATAAAGAAACTAAGTGAGAACAGGACCAACAGAATAAAATAAACCATGCATGAGCCACAATCTGCATGATGGGGAATATCAAGCACCTGTGGAAGATTGCCTTTCCAGTAACCCTTCAAGCCCTCTTCCTTCCCTATCTCTGCAATAGCCTGCATAATTGTAGATGTATCAGATTAGTTATGTAGTACCAGATATACAACTCTAAGTAAAATCTATGAAAAAGATAGCTATGCTTCTCCTCCTTGTTTGAAAGTGGAAAGTGCAAGTTCATATATCCAAGAGAAATTAGAAACAATTATGTTAAGAAGTCAGACCGCACATAGAAACAACATGTTAAAGCATATGCGAACTGGCAGTACTTTGTGTCTAACTCATCAACACATGAAGCACCAGCATGGCAGCATCTGATATCATATTAAAAACATCTAAACGAACAAACATCATGAAGCCATAAGTAAAACTTAATGGCATGCCACTGCCTATTTCTGAAAACCATTGTTACCCTCATTTCTGAACCATACAAGAAGCATCATGAATTCAGGACACAGTGAGTATGTTACAGTGTATTATAAGTATATTGGAACAAATTATGGCTTTCCCTCAGATAGCAACCACGAATTGGTAGTGGTGAAACACATCAGTTTCATGACTCACAGGTTCTTTTTTAAAGAAAAATGCTCCATGCCTCACGAAAGCCTTTTTCATGATATGTTTCCCAGAATAGTTTTCAAATTTCTAAAACGTAATTTTGAGATTGTGTGTTAATTTTTAGTAAACCACGAGTTTCATTGTTCCATATCAGTTCACATACAACCGCAAGACCAGAATACTGCATATTTGTAGTGGAGAGAAGAGTACCCCATTGTTATGTTCAACACCACACACACAGACAGAACTCGGTTCGTTCTAACTTATCCCTGATGTATTCGGAAGCTGCACTTATGAATTCAGGGAATTTATCATGCAATTGCAAATGACAGGTACTAAAATAGACAGGGTTGGGATCAACTCCATGGCTAGATGGAAGGCATTTTATAGCAACAACAGATTGACATTGTTGTCATGAAAATCGCAGACGATAGTATTAACATTACTAAAATAGACAGTGTTGCATCAGCTCCATGGCTACAGAAAAGCCATTCTATAGCAACAACAGAATTACACACTCTTACCAACTTAGAAATTTATAGCAAACTGAAGAGAAGAGGTGGAGGACATCATCAGAGTTACCTCGAGGAATCCGATCCCTTTCTTGGTGCTCTCCCCCACCACCCGCACGCTGTGCGTCTACAAAGAAGAAGAGCAGGAAATGCAGTGGGTTACAGACCACGCACCCACAGGCCACCCCACAGCAAGGAGAGGGAGAGAAATCAGAAACCCCCGGGACGGGAGGGGCGGGGTCATGGTGTGCCCTACCTGCATGAGGAGCTTGACGCGGTCGAGCGGCGCGGTGATCGTCTTGGCGACGGCCCCCGCGGCCGCCCCCGCCGCGAAGAGCGCGACGGCGTTGGGCACCAGCGCCAGCATCGCCAGCGGGTGCCTCACCAGCACCCCCGCCGCCGGCAGCTGCTGCTGCTTCCCCTTCCCCTCCCCCACCTCCCCCTCCTCCCCTCCCCCTCCCCCCTCCCGCACGGTGAGCGACGCGAACGCCGGGCCACCCCCACCCCCACCCACGCGGAGGGCGAGCGCGCGGCGGGCGTGGGGAGGCGGCGGCGTGGGTGGGGGCCTCCATGAGTCGCACGCCGCCGCATCCACTCGCCGGTGGCTCATCGTCGTCGGTGGGCAGGCGGTGGCCGGATCTGCTTGGCCGCGAGAGGCGAGGCGAGGCGAGGCGGAATGGAAGAGAGAATTAATGCGGAGGAAGAAGAAGAAGCGAAGAAGGAAGAGGGGATAAGGGGGGGAGGAGGATTGATTTCCTCCCCGTTTTATGTCGAAGCTCGAGAGAGCGGTGAGGAGGGGGGTTGGTTGTTTAAACCCTCGCGCACGCCGGACACGCGGGCAATGCACTCCTCTCTCTTTTTTTTCTTTCTTTTTCGTTTTCTTTTCTTGAGAGGATTAATGGTGTATGAGTGTGGCACAATGAAAGGGACGTGTTTCGGTTCTTGCCACAATGTCAGCAAGTAAATGCGGTTTTGGTTGCCCGTCTGTTCGGCATTTGTGCCGTACATGGACATGGGAACCGAATCGTGGAAGAAGGGACAGCTAATTGGGTCCGTTTTTTTTTTTTTTGACAAATTGACCCTTTTGGAAAACTTATTTCGAAACTAACCCCTGCCAAAAACTTCAACAAAAAATAGGCCGTCGCCTCAGCGACGTTGGCCGTGTCAGCGCCAACGGGACTGGCGCTGACATTGTGCCACCGTGGCGGCCGGGCCGATCCCCAGCTGACGTGGCAGCTACCTCAGCGCCAACCGGACTGGCGCTGAGGTGGGACTTGGCCGCAACCCCCAAGGCCCAGACCAGCAAGCCTGCTGGATGGCTTGCGGGCTGGGACCTCAGCGCCAGCCCACCTGGCGCTGAGGTGGGACTTGGCCGCAACCCCCAAGGCCCAGACCAGCAAGCCTGCTGGATGGCTTGCGGGCTGGGACCTCAGCGCCAGCCATAATGGCGCTGACTATTGGAAACTCAGCGCCAGCCCACCTGGCGCTGAGGTGGGACTTGGCCGTTTCGGCCGTGGCCCAGCCCAGCAAGCCTTCTGGATGGCTGGGCTGGGACCTCAGCGCCAGGTGAGCCCTGCTAAACTTTAGCAAAACTTTGCACACAACAGAGGCAAACATCAAATCATAGAAATTTACAGGCAGTAATATATCCAGAGAACCATACAAAACATACATCCATCCATCAATCCCAACATCATTCCATACATCCATAGAATCCATCAATACATCCATATATGAAGTCCATATATATAAGAAATAAAAACATCCCATCGATCCTCGTCTATACATCCAGTCGAGTCCATACATCCAGTCCATACATCCATCGAACCATGCATCAAGTCCATCCATCTATCCATCCATCCATTGAACCATGCACTCACCTCCTCCTACCTCTAGTGCGAGGACGAGGCACGTCGGGGGTGTACCTCCAGTCCTGCGAAGGAGCCCGCCGGCGTCGTGGTCGAGACGGGCCGGGCTGCGAGATATCTGGCTGTGACGACTCTGGTGCGTCCTCTAGCTGCGAGGGACCGAGCTCATCCGCCTCCTCTTCTCTGTCCTCATCCCCTTCTTCCTCCTCATCTCCTTCCTCCGCCTCTTTGTCTTGCTCGCCCTCCTCGTCACCCACCTCCCCTTCTTCATCCCCCTCTTGGTGGGCATGAGCATGTTCGACCACATCAGTCGACCTGCAGCCGAGCCTTGCTGCCAACTTCCGACATCGCTGCCGTAGTCTCTGCATAAAAAATAATCCATGTTAAGTTATCGCTTTTGGAAGAAAACACCGTAGTTTCATCTCTTTCCAACGATTACCTGTAGGGCGTTGCGGAGGGTGCCGCCCTCTCCTTCGGAGCCAGGAGCCGTGCCTAGCGCCACTCCCGCGTCGTTGACGGTCCGCAAGAGCTCTCGAGCCTGTAGGATTGAAATGAAGTAAGTCACAACATATATGGCATTGAAATGAAATAATATACAACATTAATGCTAGAAACTAACCACTCTGTCGCGAACAGGTCCCGTCTCGACCGTGGTACCTAGACGGGTACGAGTATCGTACTCGTTCTGCTCCTCAACATCCTCGGGGTCATCCGCTATGTCGGCTAGTGTCCAAGCCGGACGTAGGACAAGACGGTAGGTCCTGTGGAGCCACGCCAAGTACAAGTCGAACTCCGTCCCGTTGTGCTGACCCTGGTCTGGTACCCCATTCTCCTCGAACTTCTCCCATTGCGTGATATGATCCTGATGGTAGTAAGCCCAATCAGTCACCTTCTTGTTCTTCCGACGGTCCACCCTGCACGTATGCAAAATGTCCAACTCAAATATGTAGTAAATGTTGAAGTGACTGATTGGGCAAGCAAAATAAATTGTTAAGTGAAATTACTAACTTGTGTAGGTCGATACTCGTGGAGAAACGGTGCGGGATTGTTTGAAGCCTCCCGAATTGCCGCATCACGCGGTGGCACATCTGGAACTCCACTGCATAGAAGCAGATCAGTGGGCACCGTAGGGTCTTCAACGCATCCTCTATATGGCACATGGGATTCAGTTCTAGCTCGAGCACTTCCTGTGCCTGATATGGCATCCACACCACCTGCAGCAACAAAAATAAAACACATTGAAGCACATTTAGTACTATATAGTAAGAAACCATCTTCATGTGTGATAGAACCCCGAATAGCTTACATGTTCTGGCTGTAGGTAGTCCATCTCGTTTGTGTAGTGGTAGTACGCCAAATTCCTGCGGCCTACTACTGGAGATGGGACCGATTCCCACAGGTGAGCTACAGTGGGACGTCGGTCTGCATCCTGGTGCGGCCAAGCCTGATGGGTCCTCCACATGGGCCGACCAACTGGAAGCCTCATCCACATCCAAACCTGCGTCACATACGTTAGCTTCCAACATGTTAGCAAGAAATTGAAATGTTATGAAACATAACATGCGTGAACTTACCTGTAGCAACCAAACACAGCCTGCTAGGTTCGCGTCCCCGCCTTGCCTTCGGCAAGCATCACAGAGTTGCCGGTACAACCAGGCTAGGGCAGCCGACCCCCAGCTGAAGGTACCCGCCTCGTCCCAGTCCGCGAGCAACGGCAGCCACATCCAAGAAGCCATGTCTCCACCAGAGTCAGGGAACAGAATACTGCCGAAGATGTACAGCACGTACGCCCTGCAGTATCGCTGTACTGTAGCCTCGTCTGCCTCAGCGGGACACTGACCGAAGTTGGCTCGCAACCAACTCAAAGGAACCCCTGATGTCTTCGTCTGCCTCTGACCATCAGGTGCCACTGGAGGCTCCAGACCAAGGTACTCCTCGACCCTCTCCCTCCAGTTCCCCGACGCTGTGTCACCTGTAACCGGAAATTAAATGGAATCATTAGTAATTGCAAAAAAATTAACAAATGAATACGAAGACTCGTTAGTAATTCCCTGACGCTGTGTCACCTGTGACCGCCTGACCCCGGATAGGAAGACCCAGGATCATGGCGACGTCCTCCAGAGTGACCGTCAGCTCCCCGCACGGTAGGTGGAAGGTGTGTGTCTCTGGACGCCACCGGTCCACTAGGGCCGTCAGAGCAGCGGCGTTGTACAGAGGCACCGGTCGCTGCGCCATGGTCACGAACGCCAAGAGCTTCGCCCGCCGTAGGTACGGGACGTACCGGTCGTCGAACAGTATGTGCGCCGTGTGACCTCTGACTCGAAGGGTCTTCAAGCGCTGCATCAATAGACAAACATAATAACATAAAGTTAGCGACAATATATCATATACAAGGGTTGTGGAAAATACATCATGCAACTAGGAACTTTAATTTTGGGATTGACCAAGAAAACTGAAAAGAAGATCTGTGTGTTTACATGCTCTGCTTTGAGGCTCCTGAACTTTGATTTGAGATATCTCTATGATGGATGATCTATCTGTACAAACTAAAATCAAAGAAGAAAAAATAAATTCGATCATAAAAAAATGGAATATTGTTGATGCTAACCTCTCCGCTGGCAATCTGTGGGGCCCGGTGCTTCTCCTCGTAGAAATCCTCCAACCCCGGAAAGTGCTCCATCCTGCAAATGAAAATGGAATCATTAGTAATTGAAAAAATATTAAATGAAAAAATCACAATGAGAACGGAAAGGAGGACAACAGAAAGTAAACATTGATGCAACAATATGAACTTAGCAAATGAATGTCATCCAATCCCACCTGTGTGCTACCCTCACCACCTCCCCCCGTCCTACGGCGCTTTTTCGGTCGATCCTTAGACTTGTCTCGCTTCGGGCACCTAGTTTTCTTATGGCCTAGTTCGTGGCATAGCGAGCATCTATTTTGCATGACCGGCTCTGAATTTGTATTGTTCGGCTTTTGTGACCGTCGGTTGGCTGAGCCTTTGTATGCTTTGTCCATATCGTTCTTGAACCTTCTTGTCCTTCTTCTTCCTCGTGTGTTGTTCTTTAACGACAAGTCGGGCACGAAGAACTCTCCATCATAACTTGGCCACTGCGATGGATCTAGGTAAGGTTCAAACCTAGGGGAGTACGAGTCCTGCACAGCCTTATTGGAAGCTTCATAACACATTCGGGGGGCCACCTCCACATCCAAACCTCGCAACTTACAAACGGTTATCATGTGGGAGCATGGCAAGTGATGGAGCTGAGGGAACTGACAACTACATGTGTTATCTCTCGCAACCACGACGTAGTGACGTCCACCCCATTGAACCCCAGCCGCCGTGACTCCGCCTTGCTCGCTGACCTCATACTTCATCGAAGGGAAATCAAAACATGCTGCTCTTTGCCCCAAGGTTCGTCTTTGCTGCTCCTCCAACATGTCCTTAACTTTTGTGGGCCACTTCTTTCCACACAGGATATCTACAGTTGCCTCTTTGTGTCTATCGACAAACCAACTATTGCACTTCGAAAATGTGTATGCCACAATAGCTGTAACCGGCAGTTTCCGAATGCCTCTCAATACATTATTGAAACTCTCGGCCATATTACTAGTCATGATGCTATGACGACGCCCGTTGGTATCAAATGCTCTTGCCCATTTGACCTTAAGTGGCATATGGTCTTCTAGCCACTTCTTTGGCCTCTCTCCGACCACACCCATGAGGCGTTTTATCTCATCTAGGAACAATGCTTTCTCATTTATTTGACATATGCGCTCAAGATCTTTCATCTGATCAGTCGTAGCTCCAGCTGTGTAGAAGTTAGCACAGAAGTGCCTCATGCACCACCTGTGGTGAATGGTTAGGTGATGAGGCATGATGTGGATGATGGAGTTCAAAATGCCAGGGTGTCTATCAGAAATTATACACACTTCTCTATTAGGACCGATCAACTTGTTTCTCAACATGTTGATGAACCACTCCCAGTTGGATGTATTCTCCTTCTCTACCAGAGCAAACGCTAAGGGAACAAGATGTAACCCGGCGTCGACCCCTATTGCCGTGAGCAATGTACCTTGGTATTTACCGGTTAAGAAAGTGCCATCAATTGCTAGCACCGGCCTCAAGTGCTTGAATGCTTCTATGGACTGGCCAAATATCCAATATGCACGTCCAAATACTCGCCTCTGTACTCCATCCACCATCCTGGACTTCTCGGGATGAGCCTCAACACGGAAATGCATGGTAGGGTTCTTTGCTTTGATGGCACGCATCAGTGTAGGCAAGCGAACATACGCCTCGTCCCAATCTCCCCAAATGACCTTCATAGCAACTTGCTTAGCACGCCATGCTTTGCCATACGTAGGCCGATAGTGCCATATTTGCCCAATTCCAATCCAATTCATGCTTGATGCGAGACATTAACTCCTCAAAGGTAGGCTTCGCAAAAAACACTAATTGTCTAACTGTCATTCCCTCAAATTGGCTTCCATGTGTACTTTCATCTACCACACAACCACCATAATGAAGCCGGACCAATCTATCCATCTACAATTTTAAACCCATGCATAAACATTAATTACTTGAAAATAATATGTAATTACCATTGCAATACCAATACTTCAAAAGCTAACAACATGTCTAATTTTTCCAATAAATAAGTACATTACTCAAATACTACACATTATTGATAAAAAAAAAACTCTACTCCTACAAATTACCTACCCTTCACCACACATCAACCCCTTTCAAACCCTCTCAATCACCACAAATCCATCCCACATCCTAGGCCATCACCACACATCCATCTCCCATCAAACCCTAGTGCATCACCAAACATCCATCCCAAATATATTTTGTCAAATGTATCAATAACAACCAAATGGATAAAGATATGCCACTTCCACACTTCATCCCCACCCATATTATCCATCTAATAATCCATCCTTAGCCAACTATTATCAAACCACGTCTACAACCAAAACAATGCAAAATATCCAATAAAACTTTGGGGAACTTAGGGTTTATAGAGGGGTTTACCTTCTCTTCCGATCCCAAACTCAATGCCGCACAAATCACCTTCGATTAGAGAGGTTTTTGGGGGAGATTGGGCGAGGAGAACGCGGTGGCGACCGAACCCTAGGCGGGCGGCTGGGGAAAAAACAGAGGAAGAACTGGCTGGGGCGGCCTCGGCCGGGCTCTAAGTAGCCAAGGTCAGCGCCAACTTACTTGGCGCTGAGGTTGGGCACCTCAGCGCCGAAGCGGTTGGCGCTGAGGTAGCTGCCACGTCAGCTAGGGGATCGGCCCGGCCGCCACGGTGGCACAATGTCAGCGCCAGTCCCGTTGGCGCTGACACGGCCAACCTCAGCGCCAATGCGCTTGGCGCTGAGCCGACGGCCTAGTTTTGGTTGAAGTTTTTGGCAGGGGTTAGTTTCGAATTAAGTTTTTGAAAAGGGTCAATTTGTCAAAAAAACGGTAATTGGGTGGTAACTAGAACCAATACGTACTTCATATGTACTTAAATAATACTTTTAAATATTAGAATCTACGATACTATTTAACCCATCCTATAAACAAAACCTCCATACAAATTTATAGGATGGTTTAAATCTTGTAGTAGGTTGCAACATTTTGAGACATGGATAGTATAGTAATATAGTAGCTGGATTAGACCTAACCTATTACTAATCTTATCTAGATCTTGTTATACCCCTCTAAATTGATTTGAAGTACTAAATTGTGTCTAATCTGGTTTTTCGGTACTAAATTGCTATATTTTAGAATGAGATTCATTCAAATTCTAAGTAAATACAATCCAAAAAATAAACTAAAAACCAGAACAGATTCTCAAAAATTAACTAACTACCAACCAAATGTTTATCAGAATTTAGCTCCCTAATAAAGAAGACCAAAGAGTTGTTGGGTGGATGGTTGGATTGAGCGTGGTGCATAGCTGCATATCAAAGGCTGACATCATTTGCAGCAAACGCATACCACAATAATACTATGCATGTACGTGAAGTGTTTTTTTCGTGAGGATTATTAAAAGTTTAAGTTTTTTTTCCTGAATGAACGAGGTTTATTAAAAGTTGAGTTCAATTATACTAGCACGCATGTAGTTAGTCTATATTGAGTACCACTAGAGCAATGATCCAGCTAGCCAAGCTAAAACGACATCTAGATCACCCCAAGTAAAGCATATAGGTTTAGAAACCATTCGGATACACAGCAAAACAAAAAGAAAACTCATGTCCCAGCTATTCTTTAGAAAGTCCATGGGATAAATTGGAGCAAGTCTATTTGCTTTTCCCTTTTGCTCTTGGAAATTTGCAGATCAACGGTAAGATTACATATAGGGCATAAATTAGTTGACTTTCTTTGCCACCTTTTGATGTTTGTTATTCACAACTGAGCACTATTAAATATGATATGTCCACGGTGTGTTTTGTTTATTTCTTCTCATTTCAGGTTTTCTACAATACTGCTCAGTACTATTTAGGATTCTCGTGTCATATTGATTGGCCTTCTTCTAATTATTTTAGCATTTCAATACATAAACAGTTGACAGGTATGTATACCGAATTAGAAGTATTTATCTATGTCAAGGTTCTTTTAGTAATTGTATGATGTCCATAATGTTTCTTTCAAAATATAGGATCATGTCCTGTCCCCCCAACACACACACAAAGAGATAAAAATAGAATGTGGTTATTCTTAGGTACCCCTCTGTTCCAAAAAAAAGTCTAATCCTTGCTAATCCTTGGACACATGTGTGTCAGATTCGTAGCTAGAGTTTGCCTTTTTATGGGACAAAGTAGTAGGAACTACACTTTTTTGTTGTTTTGCAAGTTTGAAATTTGACATTTCATTTTACATTTATTATTTTCATGTAGAGGGATTGAACTTTATTTTTCCAAGTCTTTGAAATCACTTCTTACAGAATTAAGCATTTCATGTTCATACATTCTTTCGCTCTATTAGCTCAAAAGATATTTTGTTGCGATGGTTCCTACAAAATGTTAAGAGTTATTGCACCTGCTTCACCTTTTGTAATATCACATATATTGTTTATATATGCGTGCCAGGCAAATTATATGTGTCAACCGCTATTTATGTGATATATGCTCCTTTTTTTCGTTATATACTATTGATTAGGGATTCTTATGTATGTTTTATATAGCAGGTTGTTAACGCCAAAATTTGGTAAGATTTTGTAGTGGATTCGGTTAAGGAAAAAACACAATCAGCCGATGGAAAGCTTATCCAGAAGAGTCCAAGTTCAAGGAGTCATGAATACCATGGCGTGGCAGATTAATTTCTATCTATTAATTAGGTAGAGTTTAGTTATTTTCCCTTATCTTTAGGAAGTTTTGTCTAGTGTCCGATTAGGACTTGTATCTTTCCTTGTCTTTAGGAAACATGGTGTCGCGTCCGATATGAACTACTATCTAACCATGGGTGTTTCTTTGTAAAATGTAATCTATCTCTTGATCAATACAACTTCAGCGCATATCATTGGACATCTACTTCAACATATTATCATCGGTCGATTGGATTGATTGTCTTTATATCATATTTATCTAAGCGTTAAAATTTAGATCGGGCATATAACCTATTGTTTAAGACCATATCGACATCGGCTAGTACTGATACATTGGCTTAATGGTTGATCGGTTCTTTGAACATCAATTTATCTATCTTGTCAATTACAGGATCAAACTGACTGGCACACCCAAACCTGATATTTTAGGACTTGCACTGGAGCTAAGCAAATCTCCCATGACTTCAAGTGTCACGAAGAAATTTCACGTCAACACATGCCCATATATAGATGGATGTTTGTTCCTCCTTTTTGTTGCAAGTTTTCTGTGCATTATATTCTTATTAGACACTCTCCAGGCCCATTCATGAATGATCCTATGTACATGTAAGCTTCTCTATTGCCTTTATGTGTACATGAAGATTATTTCGTATAAGCCTTTTCAAGTCTTACTTCGATACCTCAGTTATCTTGTATAGTTAGGTATAATTATGATCAATAATTATTTAAAAAGTCTATGAATGATATCGTCCATTCAAATATATGATCCAAATGACTACAATTATTCTAAACCACAATAGAAATAATGATGTCGGTATATATATATATCTCTACTACCTAAAAAAATCAAAACGTTTCCTTCGTCCATCAAAACAAAAAAAAGGAAGAAAATAACTAAAAAAAAGTCTGACTCCCCTGCGTTCGTTTGCCAGGGCTGGCCCTCCGGTATGGAAAACGGAGCGATCCATTAGCGCGTGTTTAATTAAGTGTTTGCTAATGTCTTTTTCAAAAATGGATCAATATGATTTTTAAGCAATTTTCGTATATAAACTTTTTGTAAAAAGAAAAGAACCGTTTAGCATTTTAAAAAACGTGCGCCCAGAAAACGAGGAAGAGGGGTTGGGAACAAGCGGGAACGAACGCAGCCTAAATAGATCAGATTCCCCCTTAAAAAGAGGGAAAATATGAGAAAAAATAGCGAACAAAACAACAACAAAAAAAATATGTTTCCTTTAAGTGGCCAAACAAAACCGTAGATCCAAACGGGAAAAAAAAATACGATTCCTATAAAAGGCAAAAACAAAAAAAAAGTGGTGAAAAAAACGCTAGATCCGATTCCTATAAAGGTGAAAAAAAAATCCAAAACATCTTTAAAAAAAAGTTCGTCCGATTCCCTAAGAAAGTGGCGAAAAAAACTGTTTGTAAAAAATAAAAATGGGTTCGTATAAAATAAAAAATACACACGAGAAAAAAAAAGGGCCTAAAAAAGTTTGATTTCTATTCGTTTTAGTAGTCAGTATATATATCTTCTTTATCTCTAATCTAATCTAACTATTTAAAAAGAGAAGTTTTCATCGTACAACTGAAAAGAAAAAATGCACAATAAAATAAAAACAGTTCAAAAAATACGGGAGAAAAAAGTCATAAAAAAGCGCAAAAACACGCTAAAAAGGTTTTCCATCTTCCAAAAGAAATAAAAAACCGAGCAAGAAAAAAATATTTCCATCGTCGGTAAAAAAATAAAAAACATGCGAGGAAAAAACTGTCAGAAAAAACGCGCCATTTCAAAACAATGGTTTGAAAAAACCGCGCAAGAAAAAAACACCGTCTATTAAAAAACAAGCCGCTCTGAAAAAATTATCAGAAAAAGCAGTAAATTGATGCACGCTTGAGTCGGAAAGGATCCATCGATTTTTTGCCATCTAATACACGGCTTTTGTTTCGTCATCTATTCTCATGTATTGGAATAAAGGAAAAAGAACATTCGAAAAAAAAGAGCAAACGTGCGAGAAAATAATTGTCAGAAAAAAGGGCAAAATAACACGCGAGAAAAGAAAAGCAAAAAAACATGAGAGAAAAATACGGTTTTCGTCATCAGTAAAAAAAAAGCAAAAAAAAAACATGCTAGGAAAAAACTGTCACAAAACTGCACAAGAAAAAAACACCGTTTATAAAAAAACGAGTAGAAAAAACAATCGGGTTCAACACGAGAAAGAACCGATGTTTCTAAAAACGGTTCGAGAACTCTAACGTAACGCGAGAAAAAAAAAGCATCATTTCTAAAAAAAGGTTAGAGTAAACCATCCGAATCAACACGAGACATACAAAATTGTTGTTTATGATAAGAACCGCTCTGGAAAACCATCGGACTCAACGGGAGATAAAATTGATGGACGCTTGGGTTGGATAGGATCCATCAATTTTTTTCTATCTCCTACACGGTTTTTGTTTCCTCATCTTTCTCATGTATTAGAGACCCTGCACGTCTCTGCACGTATCTGTATGTAGATATCAATATTTGAATAAAGTGGAGGAGGAACCTATAGAAATAAACATCAATATTTGAATAAATTGATCAAATATTTAAAATATTAGGATGAGATAACTAATTTACCATTTATTTTAGTTAATTACAACACTTTGAGTTCACAGATATCACTTGAAAGTAAATAGATAACAGGATGACAAAAACGAATAATCCAAAATAAGAATTAACAGATATCACACCTAAAAATAAACTTACACAAATAAATATAAAAAATGCATTATCATTTCTAGTGTAAGGATATCAAACTTAATATGAAATGCAATCCCCAGCACAAGACGTAGATGTGTACATAGTCCATAGTCCTAACACAATCAGATGTAGAGTACATATACCATCCTAATCCTCAACACGAGAAATACGTGTACATATAGTACTATGTATAGTTTTAAAAAACCTCCTACTTCTCGGCACGAGGAAATCAGGGCATGAGAAAATCGGGATCGATCCATAACATGTCTAGTGACTTGACAACGCTAGAACTCCAACAAACACTGCTAGCACAGATCCAACTAGGAACCGTGTGCACTCAACCACGCTTATGCAAAGATCATGCTGTCTAGCAAGCAGGGCAGTGCTTAAGGCTGCAATTCCCCCCACCTCACATGCAACACATGAGCACATGCATTAACATAGATATAACTTAATCAAATTAGGGAGCGTTTGTTGAGGGGGAAATGAGTTGTAAGACCTCATTTGCATGGCCAGCATTGAGTCCCATATAAACAAAGCATTAATTAACTCTATCCATTTCCAAAATATAGTCAGTTTTATAAATAATTTTCATGAAACTGTTCCAAAGCCAAGTACCATCATCCACTGTTGTTTAAAAATGTATTTGCTAGTACTACATGATGAGGAAAGTAGTAAAATGCTAGTAGTGCTTTACTACTTCATTTATTGCCAGGCTTATTTTTGGTCCATTATTGATTGGGGAGAGATATAAGGAAAAGATATTAAAAGAATTTCATTTTATTCTCAATTTTTGCTACACAAACTAGTAATAGTTGTACCTTGAAACTGAGAGTATAATTTATTGTTTATTGTCATGCTCTATGCATATTAATCAGGAGAGTATAAAGGGACTATATGGCACAGCTCCAGCTTCACCCCTCCTAGAGCTAGAGCTCAGCCAAATGTTTCAGCTCCACAAAAAATAGGAGTGGAGCTGGGTGGAGCTCTCTCACAAAATGGTCTAGAGTTGTAGAGCTGGGTTTAAGAGCTGGTGTGCTAATTCAAGGAGCAACTCAGGAACTCCAAAGCACCTCAAACCACATATCCACCGAGCAACTCCAGCATCTCCAAAACACCGCAAACCATATATCCACCAAGACATACCTACGCATGATTCTTTGTAGACGAGCACAGCGCGACCAACTGCTACGAGTAGCGCCTCTTCTATCCTGCCCTCTCCGCACCGTCGTTGCAACGATGTAATGGAGCGAAGCCCACAAGGAGGCAATGGGGGCACATGCCCCCTTACGCTCATAGAACAAAGCGTACCTTATAGTAATAATAGTTGATCTCCATGGTTGTGGGTTGCTCATCATCACCAATGGAGCTTAAACTAAAGTGGAGGGAGAACCTATAGAAATAAACATCAATATTTGAATAAATTGATCAAACATTTAAAATATTAGGATGAGATAACCAATTTAACATTTATTTTGGTTAATTAAAACACTTTGAGTTAACAGATATCACTTGAAAGAAAATAGATAACAGGATGACAAAAACGAATCGTCTAAAATAAGAATTGATAGATATCACACCTGAAAATCAACTTACACAAATAAATATAAAGAATACATTATCATTTGCAGTGTAAGGATATCAAACTTACTATGAAATGCAATCCTCAGCATGAGACGTAGATGTGTACATAGTCGTAATACAATCCTCGGCACAAGGAGATTATTTGAGCCAGTGAACATATCATGTTGATCATGACCATCGTGATAAGTAGGGTAGTGGATATGTGTCTCACGCCACAAAAGAATTGGTGTGCTAATTGGAGAAGCAACTCCAGGAACTCCAAAGCACCTCAAACCACATATCCACCGAGACATCTCTGTAAGACAAATCCAGCAACCCGAAAGCACCGCAAACCATATATCCACAAAGACAAATCTCCATAAGGTCGGTAAGCATATCCATCAAGACATGCATACGCACGATTCTTTGTAGATGAGCACAACGCGACCAACCGCGACTATTAGCACCTCTTTTATCTTGCCCTCTCCGCACCGTCGTTGCAACGATGCAACGGAGCGGAGCACAGATGGGGGCACATGCCCCCTTACGCTCATAGAACAAAGTGTACCTTATAGTAATAATAGTTGATCTCCATGGTTGTGGGTTGTTCATCATCACCAATTGAGTTTAAGCTAAAATGGAGGGAGAACCTATAGAAATAAACATCAATATTTGAATAAATTGATCACACCTGAAAATAAACTTACACAAATAAATATAAAAAATGCATTATCATTTGCAGTGTAAGATATCAAACTTAGTATGAAATGCAATCCTCAGCACGAGACATAGATGTATATATAGTCCTAACACAATCAGATGTAGACATGTGTACAATCAGATGCACATAACAGTACGAGACATGTGTACATATACCATCCTAATCCTCAACACGAGAACTATGTGTGTACATATAGTACTATGTATAGTTTTATAGATCCTCCTACTTCTCGGCACGAGGAAATCAGGATCCGAGGGTCCATAATATGTAGTTTCTTGACAACACTAAGAACTCCAACAAACACCGCTAGCATAGATCTAACATGATATAAAAGGCATCAAGTGGAAATCCTCTATGTTCAAATTTGAAATCAACTAGTTATTGAGAGGATTTACAGCATGTAGTTGAATAAATTTGGAATTCTTGTAATGAAAAGAGGTCTATATTGATAAATGCGATGGAGAATGCAAATGATGAGAAAAGGGCTAAACAGATGGAACATGAACTGGGATAGTGAATACAAATGGGAAAAACATAGGTGGCAAATTATTCATATCAAGTTTCGATAGAGATGAGCCAAGAGAAGTTTGGAGTGGAGGGAATGAAGTTTTTGTGTGCTCCTCTTTTTGGCCTGATGCCGATGGATGCAGGTTTTATGCCCTAGCTTATTTTGTAGTTTTTTTTAGTCGATCTGGTCGCACCTGAACCAATGAGAATTAGGCCAAAACCTTTTAATTTTTTTCTCCTGAACTTAATTTTTTTATTTTTTTTCTCCTGAACTTAATACTTCCCTAAAAATACTTCCACTGAACTAAAGTATATAAGGAGAAATGGTGATCAAGCTAATAAATGAAACATGGTGTAATAAAAAAAACATAAACAAACATGTGAGATTGTGATAAAAGCAACTGTGACTATATAGCAGCTCATCCCTCATGCGGAGAGAGAGATAAGGGGGAGAGGGGTGTTTATAACAAGGATAAGCATGCATTCATGATAATCTTAACAACACTAAACAGCCTTGACTAACCTGGCCAACAGTTCTTGTGTGCACAATCCAGAGGAAGGCACTAAATCACTACATGTCAATCGATAGAAGAGACAAATACTTGGGATGAGCCCCTGCAATATGTCCACAGGCAAAAAAGTTGACAGACTTGCTTAGGAGCACACCAAAAGCCAGACCAAGTAAATACAAGCACCAAACATCTATTTTGTTTTGTATTTTTTATACAACCTCCCAATGGGAATAAACTAAGCATATTCTTATTGATTTAGTTGATTGACATGGATGAGTTATTGAAATATTTGTTAAATCTATATTACTTTCAACTGAAAGTATAATAACAAAAACAAGGAAGGAGGTTTCCGCATGTAAAAGTACTAAAAAGATAATTCAAAACGTGTTCAGACTTTAGTAGTACCTCAAGATACATTTCATCGAGCAGTCCTTGAGCACCAAAAACCTCTAATGCGTTCCTCCTCTTCCTTGTTCTCTTTGTATCCTCCTATTCTCTGGCCATAGCAGCAGTGCACAGCAGCACATACATCATGAGGTCAACGTAGAGCAGAAGCAAATCGACAACAAATCAGAAAGAGCAATGCGGTGGCAGTAACATAATAGCAGCAGCAGCAGCAACAACATCAACAGTTGTAGCTGTAGCTGTAGCCTGTAGCGGGGCAGCAAATCGTCCCTACCAAGCAAAGCAAGAGCATTGAACTCATTTTTTTTAGCAGACGGTAGGAGCAACCGCATAGGAGTTGGCAAGGGATGTGAAGACCTGAAAAAATTTGAAAGCCTTGGCAAATCAGTTACAGCAACTGTCAGGCGACTCAAGCTCGTGCTGCCAGCCGTTGTCGCTACCATCTCTCCCCCTTTGTCCGCAGGAAACCACCGCTATTGTCGCTACCATCTTTCCCCTTTGTCCACAGGAAACCGCCAATATCCCCATCCATTGCATCTGTAGTGATAGATGGATGGGGATGAACGGAAGACGATGGATAATTTTATAAGATTTCATCTCTTCCTCCTCTTATGGTGACGACGTTGCGATCTACTATCTAATCCCGCTTTGCTTGCCCTAGGGTCGCGCTCAGCCCTCAACTCATGCTCACTGCCTTCCTTATGGCGAAGATGCAGAGTTGAGGATGACGACAAATCGACAGCACCGACAGCGGTGGGCAGGCGGCGATGTCGAGCGGAGTTAATGTGTAGCAGCCACAGCGCACTGTGTTGAGGGGAGATGGCGACACGAGACGAGGCGATGGTGGTGGGCTAAGGCGCACGGTGGTGGGCCTATTGGCGAGCCGGCGATGACATTGGCTGGGGGATGGCAGTGGCGACGAGCCACCTGGGAAGGAAGAGGGGTGGTTCAAGGCGGCGACGAAGTGGAGGCGTGGGGTGCTCGAAGCAGGGAGGTTGTCCATTGGTTTCACTAATCCTGCTACTAATCCATCGGCTAATCCAACTCACAACGTAGGTCGTTAGATGAGAGGATCCAACGGTTAGGAATGATCTGGGTATATTTTGTTAATTCATTTTGACTTTTTCCGTAGTCAAACTTAACCAAGTTTATTAATAACATATTTGTTTTGTATTTAAAATGCTATGCTAACTTGATTAAACTTAAAGTTTGATTAGTCAAAACAACTTATAATATGAAACAGAGAGAGTAGATGCCTACTAATTGACTTACTATACTAGTAATATGAACGTGCTAATGCTATGGCGATATTTCATAAAACAATGGTGATAGACAGATAAATAGAATCATGTTGAGAATCAAACAACTAATTATACTTGTTGCTCACAGTATACTGATTTAATACAAGACTTCCTAATTCATAAAACCCATTGCATGATCAGTTTCACTTGAGCTATCAAAGCGTAAGGATTCTTTGAAAAACAAAACCACAGACAACAGTGGGAGACCATAGTTTACAGGGTCAACAATCATGTTTTCTCCTTTTCTAGCCTCCAAAAATAGGAACATTGATTCAATAGTTTTTTAAACTCCCAAGTTACTCTAGGAAGGTTGACTATGAAGATCGTCTGAGTTCTAAACCAGAGATCTACCGCTCTTTACAAACTGACCAAAATCAAATCTATGGAGCTTTCCCCCGAATTTAGAATGGATATGTTTTACACACTTTTTCAAGAACACACGAATGTATTGCATGTCCTTCATACAAAGGAAGATAGGGTTAGACATATCGTTACTATGGGGTAGTTTGGATACAGGGTTAGTCTCTGTCACATCGGATGTTTGGACACTAATTTGAAGTATTAAACATAGGCTAGTTACAAAACTAATTACACGGATGGAGGCTAATTTGCGAGACGAATATATTAAGACTAATTAGTCCATGATTTAACAATGTAGTGCTACAGTAATTAATCATGAATTAATTAGGCTTAATAGATTCATCTCGTAAATTAGCCTCTATCTGTGTAATTAGTTTTGTAATTAGTCTATGTTTAATACTCCAAATTAGTCAGAGCGTTCGTTCGTTGGGTGATTGGAGAGAAAGCACATCGTTTTCCGCGTGCACGATTCCCAAACTACTAAACGGTGCGTTTTTTGCAAAAAAAAAAAAATTCTATAGGAAAGTTGCTTTAAAAATCATATTAATCCATTCTTGAAATTTAAAATAGTTGAAACTCAATTAATCATGTGGTAATGGCTTACCTCGTTTTGCGTGCCTTCTCAATCTTCTCTTTTCCTCTCCTCAAAAGTAAAAGAGAGCTGAAACTCACTGATTCTAAAGTTTGGATCACTGAAGGCTGCAATATGGACTGATCACTTCAGAAAAGAGTCGACACTTCAAATTTATCTACATTGATCACACAACCTAATAGATTCACTGGACACCAATCTAATGACATATATTTTGACAAAATATGTAGCAGAGAAAGTACTAATTATTCATAAATCACATCATGAGCTACAAAAACACCATGAACTTTGCTTACCACGTAGAGCAACAATCGACAGAAAGCTAGGCTTGCACTGTTGTTTCCAGCTTCCTATAGATTTTCCTGCAAAACCTACAAAACTATAAAACTGGTGAATTTTCAACACCAAACATGGCCAATGATATGTAATCATGAAAAATCGGTATAAATCTAACGGCCTTATCTTGTTGCTTATGCTTATGCTTATTAGCCAAAATTTGATTTTTCAACCTTAAATTTGGAGTTGATTTTGTGGTTTTTTTCATCGTAGTTTATTTTTTAGCCTTTGCTTTTAGATCGTTAGGAACATGTATATAAAAGTTTTATTCACAAATTATTTCTCGTTTGCAAATAAGAATAAGCCAAACAATGGGATGTAAAAGGCTAACCTCAATAAATGGAAATCTTCATTGATCATGATGAATAAAAAACATGACCAGAGCTACAGTACTATACATTAATTAAAAACAATATTTTTTGATAAAAAAACAGTTTTAATTACTGCATCCAACTAACATTAATAGGTAACTCGGTAAAAAAATAGGAACATTGATTCAATAGAATAAGATGCTAATAGCTCTCCCATCCCTACTGTCCCAAGTTACTTTAGGATGGTTGACTTTGAAGATCGTCTGATTTCTAACCAGCATCTTTTAAGGTGTTGGAGAGGTTGTTGTAAAACCACAGACATTAAAAATTACATGATTTAGTATAAGATATTCAATTGTTAAGCATCCCTGTCACGAACCAGGGGGCTGCTGCAACACCAGAGTCAGCTTCTGCTCCTAATCTCATACCATTTGTCGTGATCTATGAAGTAAAAATTGTCATTCAGATAATTAATACGAAGAGAGGAAACCTTATAATTCCTTCTAGTGGCAGGCCACACAGTTCTAATAGCCTTCACCTCCACTTTTGCAGCAATGTGGAAGTAATTTTACAAAATTTTAACTAGGTTAGTAGAGTGCAGATGTTCAGTGCAAAATTACTCGTCTATTTTAATGCGCACCAGTTGTCTTCCCATAAAACAAAAAAAGTAGTTGAGCCTTACAAAATAAAAACTTAGATGCAGGGTGTTGAGCATTATCGGTGATTAGGAAATAGTTCCAGTTCTAAACTAGAGTGTTTACAAACTGATCAAAATCAAATCTATGGAGCTTTCCCCAGAAAATTTAGAATGGATATGTTTTACACACTTTTTCAAGAACACACGAATATACTGCATGCCCTTCATACAAAGAAGGAAGATAGGGTTAGACATCGTATTACTATATCTGAATAATAAGAGGATGATATAGTTAAAGCCCTTCATCATGCTCAGAAGTAAAAGAGAGCTGAAACTCACTGATTCAGAAGTTTGGATCACTGAAGGCTGCAACATGGACTGTTCACTTCAGAAAAGAGTCGATACTTCAAATTTATCTACAGTGATCACACAACCTAATAGATTCACTGGACACCGATCTAATGACATATATTTTGACAAAATATGTAGCAGAGAAAGTACTAATCATTCATAAATCAAATCATGAGCTGCAAAAACACCATGAACGTTGCTTACCACGTAGAGCAACAATCGACAGAAAGCCAGGCTTGCACTGTTGTTTCCAGCTTCCTATAGACTTTCATGCAAAACTATAAAACTGGTGAATTTTCAACACCAAACATGGCCAATGATATGTAATCGTGAAAAATCGGTATAAATCTAACGGCCTCATCTTTTCGCTTATGCTTATGCTTATTAGCCAGAATTTAAATTTTCAACCTTAAATTTGGAGTCGATTTTGAGTTTTTTTTCATCGTAGTTTATTTTTCAGCCTTTGCTTTTAGATCATTAAGAACATGTATATAAAAGTTTTATTCACAAATTATTTTTCGTTTGCAAGTAAGATGTTTGGCTTATTCCTCAAATAAGCTAAACAATGGGGCTGTAAAAGGCCAACCTCAATAATTGGATATCTTCATTGATCATGATGAATAAAAAACATGACCAGACCTCAATTAATCATGTGGTAATGGCTCACCTCGTTTTGCGTATCTTCTCAATCTTCTCTTTTCCTCTCCTCTCAAACACTCCCTAAGAGGATAATATAGTTAAAACCCTTCATCATGCTCAAAAGTAAAAGAGAGCTGAAACTCACTGATTCAGAAGTTTGGATCACTGAAGGCTGCAACATGGACTGTTCACTTCAGAAAAGAGTCGACACTTCAAATTTATCTACACTGATCACACAACCTAATAGATTCACTGGATACCAATCTAATGACATATATTTTGACAAAATATGTAGCAGAGAAAGTACTAATCATTCATAAATTACATCATGAGCTACAAAAACACCATGAACGTTGCTTACTACGTACAGCAACAATCGACAGAAAGCCGGGCTTGCACTGTTGTTTCCAGCTTCCTACAGATTTTCCTGCAAAACTATAAAACTGGTGAATTTTCAACACCAAACATGGCCAATGATATGTAATCATGAAAAATCGGTATAAATCTAAAAGGCTAACATCAATAAATGAAAATCTTCATTGATCATGATGGATAAAAAACATGATCAGAGCTACTACTATACATAAATTAAAAACAATACTTTTTGATAAAAAAAAAAACAGTACTAATTGGTGCATCCAACTAACATTAATAGGTAACTCAGTACAATTAGCCCAGCAGCCATTTTTCCTAGCCACAACTTTCACCACAATGCATTTTCTACAATTGGCCTCATTTCTGTTTTGAAAGCAATAATGAGAACATAAAACATTGGGAGCTCAATTTAATTTTAGAGTAAATTTCACAAAACTACATATTTTATGGTTCAAGTTGCAGAAAACCACACATATTTTGATACTTGGCACTTAAGTACATATATTTTGGTAGTTTAGTTTCACAAAACCACACTATCGATGAATGGATTCACTTGTGATATGACGACGTGGTTGTTTCATCTAGTATGAGGACGTGGCATCATATTAATTTCGTGCGATGGCTGTAATAGGATGCCATGTCCTCGTCCTAGGTGAAATAGCCACATCATCTCGCGGGTGAATCTGTACATCGATAGTGTAGTTTTGTGAAACTACACGACCAAAATATATGTACTCAAGTGCCAAGTGTCAAAGTGCGTGTGGTTTTCTACAACTTGGACCACAAAATATGTAGTTTTGTGAAATTTACTCTTAATTTTATGTCTGGAACAAATTACGACCTGGAAAAATCAGAAATGCATTTGCCGAGGAAAAAAAACCAGTGAAGCTGCAGCCAGGTATTTGCCATGCCGCTGCCATAGCCTAGCATATATGGCCAACATAAACTGTAAACATAACCTAGCACTCTATAAGTATATGGCCAACACAAATTGTAAATATTAATTAATTCAACAAGTATATGACAGTCAATACTTCCGTTGTAGCCTAAAAACAAACATATAAGAAAAGAATGCATCGACAATTATATTCTCTAGCGTGTTCAGACTTTCGATATACATATTGACAAGGCCTCACATAAATTTGAAAGTGAGTATTAAACTAAGTTCATAAGTGATCTTAAAACAAGTAAAAAAATACCATTTGGAGTGCATCTTTTGGAACCCCTGATTGCCTAGCTTTGTAGCATGAGTCTTCAAAGGAGCAATCAACTTCAAATGTCTGGTCCAAAATTTCCCCTCCGGTATTCATAATATATAGAAATTGTGTTCATCAAGGGATAAACCTAGTGAATTACTGTTGAAACACAGGAAACAAATTATCTCCAGAGCATAAGGCCAATCTCACAGATAGAGGTACAAAACCTTGATTGAGTCTAACATTCTACAGTGCGGACTCAATATACACACATGACAGTCCATTTCTATTTTAGAGAGAAATCAAACTTCATTGTAAATTTTCATTGATGTTAAAAATGAAAAATAAACACCAGTTTACAATAATGCACATAGAATCTATGTTGGCAAGAAATAAATCATTGCAACGGAGAAGAAACCAAGTGTCATTATTATTTCCATACAAAAAAAGAGTTAGAGAAACATCAGAAATTCATTGAGTAGGACCACATCAATATCTTTACATTTGATGAATAATATCTTTACATTGTTAATGAAAGTACATCAATATATATTGTGGTAAAAGCAGTTCTCAAATGATTTGCAAAAAAAAAGAGAGCATATAGCACCCTCAAACTATCACCAACATGGCCTTGCATGACACACTTCTGATGTTCATGGAAGTATAGGCAAATTATCATGGGGTGTACAATATACCAGCACCCTGAAGCACCATACATAGCCCTTGCACACTCTGGAAACAATTGATCCCAATAAATCCCAAAAGTATATGGGTGAAGTGATTCCACACTAATTAACAGAGTTGTATTGTATAAAAACCAAACAATAATCAATATTGATGCAGAAGTACTTAATAGCACCAATTGTGGTATACATGGTTTTGAGATCTGCAGTTAAATTACAGCAGTTACACCAATTGAGTTTCACAAATAAAAACGACAGACCTAGCTACAATGTACATCTAGTGTAAACTAAAATGCAATCTTAAAATAAAATCATGTTTACCTTCAAGCCAGGGCAGATGGATTGAAATTCAATCTTTAAGATTCATAAAAATATTGCCCCTCAAATAATTCCTAGGGTGACAAATACATTCTGTATACAGAACTAAAAAACTGGAGTCATTGCCTCACATCTTTTTTGAGAAGGTTGAACCAACTTAGGAGCAATTTAAGTAAACAATATTCATTCAAACTCATTTTCTTTTCTGAATCTATGACCAAAATAAACACGGTTTGTTGAAGTTTAGTGATCCAGCAATGGGAACAATATTTATCATGTAAACGCGCCTTAATGAGGACAAAGTTTGTGCCTTTCTTATGAGCTTCTCATATCAACCTGCCATACCACAAAAAAAATGCCATACAAATGACAAGGCCCTGAGCTTATTTATTTTCCAAGACATAAGAAACAAAGAGTGATGGCTGAAATGCATATATAATTTAGTATGAAACTAAAGAATGTAGAACCCAAAATTTCCTAGCACTGGTGAGGGGATAAATGTACAGGATACTTCAAAATTTATATCACGCATAGAAGAACACAATATTGATAAAGATACTGAAAAATGGCAAGAACAGGAGAGGTTTTATGCGATCTTTAAATATTGATAAATAATACATGGTTAATTGAAAGTACTAAGAATAAATTAACTCAACATTCTGATAGTCCTGATCAGATTTGTAGCCTTATTTAGCAAATTTTAACTTCTTTGCTATGAGCAAGCATTGCCTGGTGGTTAAAGTCACAGATTGCACACCCGTATAAAAATAAACTGCAAAGGAGCAGCTTAAATACCTCTGTTCATTTGGTAAGTTCACCGTATGCTATATGTAGTAATCTCCAATATGGGACCTTTCATGATATCCAAACCTGAACAATTAAAAAACAGAAGCCTCCCAATTAGCTCCTAGAAACCACAGTTCACAATAGTACACTGAAACAACACGGAAAAAGTTGCTCTTTTTTTCCTAAAGTAATTATTTAGTAAAAGCTTGTAATGCTTCTTCTTTACACATTCCACAATAATTGGATTGTCACATGCTATAGCTAACAAATTCAGGGGAGTGTACGTCTTATGGGACAAAGGGTCTATGGGAGCACTATTCATTACATGGTACAGTCGACATGTAATATAACAGCTATAATGATAATGACCTTATGATAGTAATGAAAAACAGATGTATACTTCAATGAAAACTCATGAGCAAGCAAAATAATGAATAGCACTAAGCATGGTTTCTCAATTTCTCTTCTGTCCATAAAATTCCTCAATTTCTCTTCCTCTCCCACAGTGAGGATGATAAGCTTCACAGCAGTCCCAGAAAGTGAATTTTATGGCAGAAAAGGAAAAATCATAATTTGCCCTGAAAGCAAATGCAAAAAAGAGCCTATGTGTATATTATCATGGGTAAACATATATGACTATTCAGCTGAACCCGTTGTGTGCTGGAACTAGTTTTGCTGAAAGATGGTAGTGTTGGTTATGGGACCTGGCATTCTTCACTAAAATTCCATTTAAGGTTTTATAACAGAGTAAAAAAAAACTGATGTTAGACACTATACTGAACCGATCACTGCATCCGGCAAGCTGTACACGGAGCCAACCAAATGAAATTATTCGTGTTGGCCATTTCAGTTAGCCTTTATGTACTTGAATAATAACAAGCAACAAGAGCTAATGATCTACTGTCAGATGGGATCCAAACCGCTAGGCAATTCAACCAGTCTTATCAGAAAGCTTGTCTTTATCATGGATTGACTATACATGTTAGCAATTTCTGTTGCATATTCTCAACTTGGACGTATGCATCACATATCACCAACTTGAATGCCTACACCACAGATCTATATAAACAACGAAATGAGGATAAACAGGTCTTACCTTCACAACAGGGGCATATGAAGAGGGGAATGGGATCAGTGCGGCGTCGTGCGATCCGGCGCAAAGAGGACCACCGTGGAGATCAACGGAGACAAACGGATCCAGAAGCCAGACACCTTGTCGATTGCAGACTGCCATTGCGCGTGGAGAAGGGGAGTCGGCGATGTAGGCCACCGCGGAGTGCAGTGGTGGGCCCAACTTTTTGAACCTGTGTATTCGAAATGGGAAGGGTTAAAAAAATTGTTCATACACCTAAAAGCCTAAAAATTAGCTTGTATAGTTCTGAAAATTAAACAATTATGGTAATATGGTATGAACTAAGCAAGCAAGTATACTAAATCAATGAATTGTAGTTCCCAATCCTAAAATCTTCATTACAAGTATCAAATTTTGCGATTTTAGTCATAGAGACAAAAAAAGGAATAATGAGTTTTATATCCTTACTGTCGATGCTAAGTATATTTAAACATAGAGACCATTATAAGTCAGTCAGATGATATAATACTAGTACTCTAGAATAAAATGTCATGAAAACTTGGGCCAAGAACAATTCTGTTATATAATTTCTAGATGAATGAATAATATAGTGTACTGAAAACTATGATGTACCAATCAATCAAAACATAAATGATTCAGGCATTGGATTACTGAAGGAATTCCTGAAAGTTGAAAACTCTTGAGAAATAATCTGGTGAAGTGGTGATGACATGTTGATATATCCCTTCTCTTTTGCTGATCTTTTCAGCCTTCGGGAGGAATATTTACCTGCTGAGGAGGTGCTGAGGAGGTGGCCGAGATGGCGTGCCGGCGCCCTGCGTGGCACTGCAGCGCCGCCCGAGCCGCTGTGGCGCTGCCGCCGGTGCGCCCCTACCTGGCTGCCTCACGAGTCGCGCCGCGCGGCCGCGCCGCAGTTGCCACTCGCCGGCTCGCCGCAGCCGCACGGCACGAAGCGCCGGCCGGTCGAGCCCGCGAGCCGCCGCCTCCCTGCCGCAGCCGCACCGGCACGCCAGAGTACTGGAGGTAGTTGTGAGGTGGGTGGCGGAGGGAGGCCGGCGCGAAGAAGGGGGGAGAGTCGGCGACCACGGGATGGAGGTGGTTGTGAGGTGAGCGGGGGCGGGGAGATCGGTGAGGCAGAGGGACGGCAGCGCGAGTGCGACGCGGCGGAGGTAGCACCTGGCGGCGCTTCGTGGAAGGAGATCGGCGGCGGCATGTGAGAAGGAGAGAGGATTAGGGCGTGGAGGAGAGAGAGAGAGACGGCGAGCGTGAGGAAGGCGTCACACGCAGAAGAGTAGCCGTTGGATTAAGATGTTACCGTTAGGTGGCCGAGATGTAAATTGTACTCCTTCTATCCGTTGGCACGCTTGTACTTAAGAAGTATCGTATTTGTTTATTTATTCGCACAATTATACAAAGTACGTGAGTATATAATAAAAGTTTTTTTTCGCCCATTAAAAACTAGGTATCTGTTGGTTACTCCTTCATATATTTACAAAAGAAAAATCAGAAATCATCTCCTTTTCCGTAGGACGTTTCCGGCCTACTCCTTCCCTTTTGTTCCTCGTGCATAGAGATGGCAACGGAGAATTCACCGTCTGGGGTTACATCCGCGTCACCGTTCCCATGGTGATGAAATTTCACCGTCCCTGTCCCCGCCAACTATGACGGTGCTACATTTTATCCATCCTTGACCTTGCACGGTCCGTCACCGCATGTGCTCATCTTGCTTCGTCACCGTCGGAGCTAATGGGAGAGGTCAAAGCCATGGCCAGTAGCCGGCAAGGGAGAGAAACGGTGGGGTGGCGGCGGAGATGGGTTGCAATAGGTCCCTAGCTACAGGACACGCGGGTCACCGCGGGGGACGAGGACGGGGAGTGGAGCACTGTCCCCGCCCCCGCCCCTGCCATCCCCGATGGTGATGAGTTTTGCACCACTAGATTTCCTGTGGATGGCAGATATCATCCATCCTCATCCCTTAGGCCTTGTTTGGTTAATCCCCTTTAGAGAGGGATTGGAGGGGATTTATTTCACACCTATTATGGTGTGGAATTATTCCCCCTCAATCCCCTCCAAACCGAATAAGGCCTTAATGTGTGATTTCACCGTGGGGAATCGATGATCGTCCCCATTGCCATCTCTAATCGTGCGGCCCATCCGGCATGCCTTTGTTTCAGGCTGTGCCCTGCCTCGTGTTGACAAGTAGGGTTGATGGGAAGGCGGCGGTGACGGAGGCAGCCCTGCGCCGGCGGCGGAGCTCCACATCCTTCGATCTGAGGTGGGGAGGAGCGGCGAACTTGCAGTCGGATCCAGTGTCGCCGCCAAGCTCCCCGCTATGGTCGCCGCCCTTGAGTTCCGCGAGCTCCTCCACACTGACGACCTCCTGCTCCCCGGCTCCCCATCGCCTGCCCCTGCTCGCCCGCCGCGACCTCTTGCTTCATGCCACTGGCTCGACAACACTTGCAAGCTCCACCACCATGACCTTCGCCATCGCTGTCGAGCGACACGAGGTCCTTCGAACCTCCTCGCTAAGGTCCAAGTCCTCCGATTTGCCCGCGATGCAGAAATGACACCAGTCGACGTCGCTTGCTGCTCCCCGCGCTAGCGAACCCCGCAGCGTGGCCGTCACCGTTGAGGGCCATTAGCTCCATCGCGCCGAAACCACACTGTTGTCGTCGTCTCCATGCGACGTGGGGCAAAGGTCGATGCGGCGCCGGTGCCCATGCGACCGGAGGGACGACTGGCGCTCGCAGCCAAGTCCGTCGCCGCCGCCGTAGGTCCCATTGCCGGCGTGCGGAGGGGGAGAGGGAGGACAAGGGGGAGAGAGGGCTGGCGCCGGCTCTGACGCACACATCGCCCATGTGGTGAGGGAGGGACGACAGCGCTCTCGCGGCGTGGGGAAGAGATGGGACGGGCAGGGAAGGAAGTAGATGGATAGAGTTTGGGGATAGGAGGGAAGGGGATAGATTTGGTTGTTTTTCGGAAAAAAAAAAACCTTGTGTTTTTCATGTTTACAGTGCTGCCCCTAAGAGCAGAATTTTCTCTTCTTCGTGTCGCATTTCTTTAAAAGCTAGGGGTGTACTGTATAAAACGGAACATGGTGTCAGTCGGTGGAAGTACGTGCGCGCTATTCCGTCCAAACACGAGGAGTCTTTTTTTTTATAAACACCACCATGCGTCATTTACTACAAGAAAGGTTCTGCGTGACACACATGCAGGACGAGACTGGCACAACCGGTGGAGGAAACGGCGCAAAAAAAATCATGTCACCCAATCGAGGAGCTTCTGCACCTGCAAATTACATAGGACAACTACTGAGGAGCCAAAAAAAATCCAAAAAGGGAGAAAAAGGGTAGCTCTAGGGGTTTAATATATTAATGATTAATGATGTAGGTGAAGTATTTTCTCTCCTTTTCTTAATAAATTTATATGCAAGTTACTTACAATTTAACTCAATATATACATTTCCGTGCCTAACCAAAATAAATATTCTATAATGATTTTGAGGACTTCACAGAGAGAGAGAGTGTGTGTGTGTGTTTTCTTTTTTAAAAAAAACCTGTCGCGTGAATGGGACTGCATTATGTCGCTGTTTATGTGTTGGGTTTGGTACCACGGACCACGGCGATGGCTGATTGGATATGCATTTAGGGCATACAATAGGAAATGTATATATGGAAATAGATATCTACTGTACTTGATTGTGTTGTCGGTAGTTAGGACTTAGTACAGTGTTTAGTTGTTCACTTGTTTGCATGAATTTCACATAAAACCATAAAAAAGAACGTATAGAGTTACGGAATTGCTATAAATATGGCGTCATATTTATAGCAATTAGTTTACAGTCGATCTTTTACCGTACAATTAGTTCAGCGATTTGTGCATGTCCAAAACTGCTAACACCATCATTACTACTATTGTTGATACTATACATCGATATACACTATCCAGGACATACTAATATCTAATCATTACGGAGTAAAATCCAAGATGCCATGCACAGATGGTAGGCAAAAGGACAAGAAAAGGAGAAGCCAAGGAAGATAGAGAGCTCACGTCAATGTCTGTTTTTAAACTGCAGTTACATATGTAATTATAGTGTGATTCTATTGTAGTTACATATCACTTACACACCACTTACATATGTAATTAATATAATTTTAGGATTTACATATATAATTTTAGAACTTACATATATAATTTTGGGACTTACATTGTAAATACACTAAAATTACATATTAGAAATTTATAATATAAATACATGCCGGCTATTTTTTTATAAAAAAATATGGCGTCATAAATATAGCTACTCCCTAGAGTATATGGAGAGTCTATAATTATAATGTGTAGTTGCACTTGAACAGTGCCTAGAAGCACTCTGCCAGTCATACTTGTCACTGCAGCACCCTTTTGTCCATCTAACCTAGCATGCTTTTTGTTGGAGGATTTTGGTGAGTTGGACTGGGCCATTCTATTTTTGTAAGTGTTTGGTTGAAAAACTCCATGGGTTGAGTTAGACCCAAAAGGGAATACTATGTATATATCCAGGTTGGCTTGATCCGTGGAAAAATTGGTGAACTGTTTTGACCCACCTCCTTTAGCGCAGTACACATGAGGCGTATGCTTGTGAAAAAGAAGAAGATAGTGAAAATACACGAAACGAGATGAGACGTTATCGCATCATTAAGTATTAATTATTTTAAACTTAAAAAATAGATTAATATGATTTTTTAAAACAACTTTCTTATAGATCATTCTTTTATAAAAACACACATACTTCGGGAAGCATGTGCTTAGAAAACGTGAAAATTTTCTACTCCGTGTGGTGCTGGTGAACTTGCTTGAGCTTTTTCGTCGACACATAAAATGATACAGGAGATTAGAGTATGATTAATCAACTATTAATTATTATAAACTTAAAAATAGATTTGTTTGTTTCTTTAATGAAATATATGATATTTATTTATTTTTAAAAAAACACCATTTAGCAATTTAGAAAGCGTGCTAACAAAAACAAGAAACTTTCAATTTGGAGTTGATAAAAGGAACGCAGACTAAATGAATGATGACAATCAATTTCGCATCCTCCAGAAGTATCTAAAGTATCAAACCTCATGACCTCATCAGACAAAATGGTCAAGCCTGGGTTAGCTTGAGCCTTAGAAAATCTTATTGGCATGAGTATACCAAATTAGTATAACAATATTCACAACAATTTCAGATCACATTCTCTATCGAATATCGATCCCATAAAGATTGCATCCCACATTCCTTTGAATTCTAGTGAATAACAAGGGACCAAAAGCATGCCACATTCCTCTGAATTCTAGTGAATAGCAGAACACCAAAGAAGCAATGCTGGCATAAACAAATCTTCCGGTTCTCTTCTCTCTCCTTTTTTTTAATAAATCCCCAAAGGGACACGAATAGCTTGTTTGTTAGTCCAAAATATTTGTGCCAATTGTTTGTTTTCACTCTGCCTTTTAGCGCCTAGGCAACTTTTCTATTTTATCAATAGAGTATCAGGGAAAGCTTCTTCAACTTCAGCCAAGTTATTACCAATTATTTCTGCCCCAAGGGCATCAATCTCATAGCGCACCTCCTCCATGTGCTCGTTTATGCTGGTCACTGCCTCTTGAACACCTTGTATGGCCTCTTTAAGAGCACCATCATACTCAGCATCTGCCTCTGCATCCTCCGTGCCAGCAGCCTCGGTTATCTCTTTGACATGCACACAGACATGTTGAGCCATATTGCTTGACCTGCAATCTGCATGGTTCACCAGGCGTTCCGAAGGACGACCAGCTTTCTTCAACACCTGAATTCTTGCCGTCTGAAATAATCAGAGATTAAAAAAAAAACTTTGTTCAGTGAATTGAGAAATTTCCAAGCTGAGACCTACAGATAGATTGTGCGTCAGATCAAACCAAAACGTGATTAGCCACAACAGCTAGAAACAATCGTTTGTCAGGCTTCTGGACTAGTTTTGAGTTTAATTTTATTTAGCAGCAATGCCATGCGTTGATTAATGAAATTACTTTTCCCTCACAAAGAAAAGATGATGAAAACAAAAGTATATCAGAAAATAGTTCAATATTAAATCAAGGTATTGCTGCTAGTTGCTAGACAAGCAATTCAAACACCCTAAGTAAACATAACAGGCTAAGTGCAAAATATTTCAGGGGTCATCAGTAAGAGAGTAATAGGTGTAGTTTTCAAGCAGGAATATGCCATCCTATTGCAATTGATACTATCATGCTCAAACAGATTAGTCAATGTGACATTAACCTTTGAATGCATATCAATTACTATTATTGCTAAATCAGGGAAACAAGTTTATATTACTTCCTCTGTTTCATAATATAAGTCATTTTGACTTTTTTTTTCCAGACAAACTTCTTTAAGTTTGGCAAAATTTATAGAAAAAAATATTAGCAACATTTACAACACCGAATTAGTTTCATTGAAACCAACATTTAATATATTTTGATAAAATGAGTGTTTTGTATCGAAAATATTGCTATATTTTTCTATAAACTTTGTCAAACTTAAAAAAGTTTAACTAGGAAAAAAGTCAAAACGACTTATAATATGAAACAGAGGGAGTATTTTATTTGATCTTAGAGCAAAGTATAACTCCAAACCAGTCAGCACTTTGAATTCAGGAATCGGGATGCATGTTAAATTTGTTAATTGAAATAGGTTGAGTTGCTATTTGTAAAACGGTCAGAACGAAACCATAAAAACAAAAAATTTAGTTCTTTGTGTGATTAATCATTCCGACATAGTAGCTTCCTTACGCCACAATTAAAAGCAAAAAATATAGTAGGTAACCAAGTAATTTGGTTTTTGAAAGGAAATCAGTTTTCAGTTGAAAATAAAGCATAAGGCTGAACCATGTCAAATTTCATAACAACACAATGGAGTCATAGACAGGTTACCAGATGCAACTTCTCTTTCTCGTGTGCCTGCACATCCTTCAGTAAGTTGGCAAGATCGCCACGACAAATTTCTGGCGTTGATAGGAGGGCTACCATTTCGAGAACCTATAGGGAATAATATGAAATATATAACTTTGTATGATAAAAGGAGATGAGTCAGGTGATAACTGCCTAACTTGTTTCGAGCAATCATTGAACTCCGCCGTAACACTCGCGCATAGTTGTTGAAAAGCTAATTCACCTCCATTAGCCATGTATTCAGAAAAACCCCTGCATAACTTTCAAAATGAGATAACAAAAAGAATGGTCGGAACCCTCAAATATGACGATGCTGTTTTAAATAAAAGATTTCCATCACAGTATCCAAAATAAACCATGTATGCGATACAATTAGATTTGAGCGTTGATTTTCAGCACTTCAAGATTGTATGCTTGTGAGTTGTGAGTTCTACTTTTTAAGTTACACTTCAACATGAAACAGCTTTGCTGGCTCAATGTAGTGATTATGATTTTAATTCTGTACAAAAGATGAGTTAGGTTAACCAGCATACCAACATTATTTAATTGCTGTTAGCAAATACGACAGTCAGTGACATCTTTCCATATGTGATATCGTATTTTCTGTTCAACATGCCACTTGAAGCATATAATGAGTTCAGTAATACCGACGCATTCCTTTCGTTTCGTTGCCATAATTTCAGTTATTTTAGCGTTGCATAAGGGTGATACTACTTCCGTGCTCCAGGAAAAGGTTTTATCATTTTGTTAATAACTTAATATCTCCAATAGCTCATCTTTTCTAGTTTAAAAACTTACATACCCAAAATGGCTTGCTCTTCATATTCAATTCATCGCCTCAAAAATCACATTCAGAGTGCAATTTATCACTAAAACCACAAAGATCCTGCCTACAGGAATCACATACACAGCACTCTAACCTCGGCTTAAAAGTTACCAGGGCAATGAAAAATCCCCCCCTGATTCTAAAAGTTACTCCAATCCTAGGGTTTTAGGGGCGGGACTGCACAAGTTGCACGGACCCAGCAAGCAGCGAGATAGTATAATATATACCTTCGGAGCGTGGAGTACGCCTCGGCGCGGCGCTGCTGCACGGCGAGGAACCCGCGGAGCACTCCGGCCACCCTCGCGTTGCTCCGCCCGCCGCCGCCGCAGTCCATGGCGTCGCTGCCCTCAGCGGCAGCCGCCGCCGGAGGGCACTCCGCCATCGGGTCGCCGCTGGCGCTGGCGCTGACGCTAGCAGGATCCATCTCCGCCACGCTACGGCCGCCTCCGATCTCTCCCCCCTTGATCTCAGCTCTTCACGAGGTGAGCGAGATTTTTGCGTGCTCCGGCCGGCGTCCCGCCCTCCCCTCCCCTTCCCTTCTCTCTCTCTCTATCTTTTTCCGGCCCAGAGATCGGGTCGGTTCAGGAGTTTTTTTTAAAAAAAAAATCAGTTAAGTTAGGAATCGAAGAGCAAACCGAATGGACATTTAACTTGCCACTTTTAACATGTGCTAATTAATTATTTATACTTATTGTATATGACATGTGGGTCCTTATATGTATATGATATGTGGGTTCAGTGACAATTCTTTTATCACCACTAATAGATAGGAGTGACAAATAATTAATTATTCCGAATCATTTCTCTCGGTTGTTAAAAAAGAAAAATCAGTCTCTCTCCTTGTTAAGCCGTTTTTCTTCTTGTTATGAATTTCGCGTGTCAAATAGTATAAGATTGGGGATTTATTTATAGGAGTATAAATTACTACTGTACTTGTAAGTTTCACTAGCCTGGTCCAGACTTAGGCTGTGTTCTTTCCTGGTTGATCTGGGTGATTGTGAGTGAGTTTTGTTTCGTTTTCCGCGTGCACGCTTCCCGAACTACTATGTTTTTTTTAAAAAAAATTATATAGGAAAGTTGCTTTAAAAAATCATATTAATCCATTTTTGAAGTTTAAAATACTTAATAGTTAATTAATCATCATGTGTTAATGGCTCACCTCGTTTTGTTTTTGTGTAACCTACCAATCTCCTCTATCTCTTCTCCTCAAACACACCCTTAGACTATTAAACTTTATCACACTTTATACTTTATGACACAGTTGCTTATTTCGTTGTCACGTGGTGGCTTGCCACAGTTTTTTTATCCTTCGACCTGCATACACATTCTTGTGCAAAAATTTACCAAATCTATATTCACTAAGGCCTTGTTTAGTTGAAAAAAAAAACTTTTCACCCATCACATTAAATGTTTAGACACATGCATAGAATATTAAATGTGGAAAAAAACTAATTATACAGTTTGCGTGTAAATTGCGAGAAAAATCTTTTGAGCCTAATTGCGCCATGATTTGACAATGTGGTGCTACAATAAACATTTGTTAATGACAAATTAATTAGGTTTAATAAATTCGTCTCACAATTTCTTAACGAAATCTATAATTTGTTTTGTTATTAGACTATATTTAATACTTCAAATGTATGTCCGTATATCTAATGTGACAACTATTCCCAACTAAATAAGGCCTAATTTGTTAGCCACACCATAGTTTAGCATAGAGAATGAAGCAGGGGCAAAATTTGCTACGGGTTAGGTCATGTTTAATGTAGGTTAATGAGTGGATTATTCAAATGAATTATGTATTTGATTATAGAATAAATTAAATATTTTAAGAAATAAATATAGTAAATACTCCCTCCTCTATATAATCCAGATTTATAATATATAATCCAGATTTATAATGGTAGGTTATATCTATTTTAAGACGGAGGATTTGTACTGATGGGTTATCTATTTTTGAGACTATTGGAGTAGCTCAAAACAAATACTAGTCTAAGTAACTCAGAGCGTGAAATAAATAATCCATTTCAATAATCCAATAAATGTTCGGTTTCATATGCAAAACGATCACAACAAAAATTTAAACGTTAATTTTAGGCCCTTTTTTTGGGGTGTGGGTGCTTCGTGTTAGACTTTTAACCGCTTGTAAGACATATATATATATATATAAGTGCTAAAATTATTCTTCGTTGCTCTTTCATTTTCTTCCCCGCAGCTTATCGCCTTCACTCAACCAATCAGAGCCTTGTTCCGTGAGGATCGAAATGAGGGTATAACAGAAATTGCTTCATCTGCTGGTCCTGAACATCTCACGATTAGCAAAATGAATCCTTGTTACATTGGCCAGTCCCCCAAATGATAATCCAGCGGTATACAGTTCGCAAGTGCCATGGAAAAAATGGCTGCGTCGCTGCCGTTGCCGGCTTGCCGCAACAACGTCGCAACTCGTTCACCCGTCCGATGGAACACCGGTTCCTCGTTCCTTTCTGGGCGGATGTCCCATGTCGCTTCTTCATCCATGCACCGTTTGGCTGACCCCATTCCTAAAGAAAGATGGGATGGATATGCATATGCTGGAGTAGATTATCTGGCAAACCAGCATAAAAGCAAACACAAGATGGAATTTGCGTGACAAAACAATGTCCTCAGTATTATAACTTGACCTGGTTAAATAATTGGAATCGGCTTAAGTAAACAAGCATGAGCTACATGAGTTTCTGTCGTTAAGGCTAGATAACCAAGCTAAGATAACAAGCTATTAGACAACTCTACTATCCCACATGGTACAATGTCATGAATGCCATGAACTCTAATTCAGTGCATTATGATGCATCCATGCAAAAGAGGGAAGCAATTTCTATTTGCTTGCAACAGCAATGAGGTGCTTAGCAGGCAAATGTTTTGCCTCGCTGAATTTCACCAATAGAAGCCATATTACTGGATTTAACTTCAAACTATTACAGCTAGAAAGATAAGTGATAACAGCACTGAGTGACAGATCACTAATCTGAAAATGTCTTCAAGAATAAGAGAAAAGAAAAAAGAATGGAAGGCCGGCTAGTTAGGAGTTTAACAGAATAAACACTAATCGATGTTAGAATAGAACACAGGTGCAACAGTTCAACACAAAGGGCGGCATGCATGGCAACATAGCCAACTACCATAGCACAGCAGTGCAATTTATGAAGGAAAAGCACAGTTTCATCTGTTAGAAAGTTCTAAAATGCAATATATTCCTGTAGTCAAGATTACCTGTATGCAGAACAATAATGACAGACTGGGTTGAAAATACTAAGGTTACTCTACACAATGAAAAAAGATCAACTCTTTGTTTAGAAACATGTCTGCATGACACTCCCATGCGGGTTAGGATAAAATAAGTTTCGCAAATATGTAAAAAATAATAGAAAAGGAGCTCTGTACATAAAGCATGTGAAAAGGTAACCTGCATTGGGTTCACAGGTCAATTTAAATAATTTAAAAGGTAACCTGATCTTATGCTGAAAATCTGCACTTATTTAGCCAAAACGATGTAGAAAAGATCCATGGTTCTTTAAATCCACACAAGCTCTTTTACAATAAGGTCACAAGCCCTGATGGCCATTCGAAAATCTAAATAGTTGTACATACTGCTTAATTTTGAAAGATAGGATTGAGGAAACAAAGTTCTTGTGAAAACTTTGACCACTAGAGTAATCGATTTGCCAGAAACAGCTTAAAACAGCAAGTTTATAAGTGCGAAGCAGGAACACGTAGAATCATCTGGCCACAGTAAAATAGTTATAAGCATCCTGTAAAATAGCAAGGTGAATAAAAATAAGTGAAATGGGTCTGCAAAAAGTTAAAATTTGTATGTACAAAAAATAAGTTTCTGAAAAAATGATATACATGTACTATGGTGATTTACTAGCAGTTAAAAAAACGTTATGGAAGGGTTATGAAATAACTAATATGTTACAACCTAGCTGAACAGTTGCACTGCATACGCATCAAAATAAGGTTAGGAGCAAACTGAGTCACATGAGAATGACAAGGCACAACATGAACCATGCATGATTGCGAATAATTGTGAATGACTATGGATAGTGCATGTAAATATCTTTGGATACTTTTGGTAAATCCGAGAGCCAGACATGATAAAGAAATAAACCAGAAATCAAGCATCATTTAACTAAAAAAGAGACCAGAAAAGCACGTGATTTCACCTCTAGCAACCAGCCTACGCATATCTCCTATTATTATTTAGCTGTACTTCAATTTCTTTTGATTAATAGAATATCAAGCTTCCCAAATCTTTCCCAAGCTATGCCTAATATAGAGTATGTGCAATAGAATTATTGGAAACGATTCAACTAACACTAACATAAGGCATTAACTCCCTGAAATTTTGATTGCAAAATGCAGACTTCAGATTCTTATGGCAACAATTGTGGCATTAAAGAAATTAACACAAGATGGCATGTTATCCTAACTTTCATTGTGCATGCGAAGCATCTACCTAAATAGCAATACCATAAAAAGAGTACCTTGGCTCATGCAAAAGCAAACTCAGTTTAAAAGCAACCAAGAAGAGATAAATAATATAGCGACTCATAAAGGGAAAGCTATTTCTTTACCGATGTAAAAAATGCAAGATCAATTTCTTGGCAGAAAACACATGTGAAAACTATTTGTAGGTTCCTATGGTTGGGACACAATCACCTATCCGGATCTTACCTAATGACCCATGTAATTTCTTCCTGGGCCTCCTGGTGGAGTACTGCCATACCCACCACCACCCCCATAGCCGCCCAAATAACCACCAGCACCAGGCATCCCAGGCAAACCACTACTACCCAGTCCTGCAGAAGCCCCTGGGTTAGGCAACCCTGAACCATTTGCACCAACTCCCAGGATGTTGTTCAGACCCAACCCTCCACCCTGGGAGGCAAGGATAGCTGTCAAGGCCTGCCCCAGAGCAGGATTCACCCCTGGGCCACCAGCTACACCTGGCAATGAAGTCAAACTGGATACTGGAGATGGCATCACATGGCCCCCAACAGCAGCACCAGGCAAAGAATGACTATGAGCTCCATAACCACCAGCGCCTTTCCTCCCGCCTGAAGTGCCAGCACCATACAAACCCCCAAGTCCTCCACCTTTGTTGGGCTTTGGTCCATCAATTGCCTTCTGGCAGTGCAGCACAACCCCCTCGAATTGCTTGTGTGGCTCCTGAAGCGCTTTCTTAGCACTATCGAGGGTCTTGTAGACAAATAGAGCAAAGCCCTTCGGCTTCCCGGTAACCTTATCGAGCCCAAGAGGACCCTCCTCAATCTCACCATACTTTGAAAAGAACTGCAGCAGTTTCTGCGGGTCTATGTCTGCGCCGACATTGCTGACAAAAATTTTCCGCTGCGTGTACTCCGACACTGGCGGCAATGCCAGCTGCGCTGGGGCTGGGGCTACCGCTGGGGCAGGGTTAGTGGCCATGCCGCCCGGCGGCACAGGACCAACAGAGGCGAGCTGGCAGGCCGTGGTGCGGTTGCCAATCTTCTTCTGGGGCTCACGGAGCGCCGCGCGGGCGCCGGACCGGCGGCTGAAGAGGATGAAACCGTAGCCCTTGCACTTGCCCGTGGCGCGGTCGGTGACGACCCTGAGGTCCTCGATCTCGCCGTAGGCGCTGAACGCCTCGGTGAGGGTCTCCGCGGTGGCGTCCCAGCCGAGGCCGTGGACGAAGATCTTCCGCAGCGCCGGGTCGGCGTCGGCCGCGCGGTGGACGGCCGTGAGCACGTCCTCGTGGCTGAGCGCCGCGGCGCTGAGCAGCTCAACGAGCTGGTCCTTGGGGAACGAATTCAGCAGCGCCTGGATCGAGTCGGCGTCCCTCTCCGCCGCCTCCTCCTCCTCCTCCCCCTCCCCCTCCCCATCCTCGTCCTCGTCGACCTCCACCTCCTCCTCCACCTCGACCTCCTCCACCTCCTCTTCCTCGCCACCGCCAGCCTCACGGGACATCATCCTCTCCCCCGCGCCCTCGCTGGATAGGCCCAGGGGCTGCGACGAGGGGGCCGGGTCCTCGGCTAGGGCTTCGGGCTGGGAGGAGGGCTCGGCGACGGCGGCGGCGGCGGCGGCGGCGGCTGCGGCTGCTGCGGCCCTGGCGGCTGCGGACCTAGCGGCGGCGGGGGATTTGGAATCGAGCTTCCGCTTCTTGCCCATGGCGACGGCGAGCGCGAGGCGTGGGGGAACCTTGGGGCTAGGGTTTCGACGGCTGTGGAGGGGAGGGGAAAGGGGGGCTGTGTGGTGTGGAGTCTGGGGCTCGCGACTCGCGAGGCCACGCGGTCGTGGGGCTTTCTTGGTTAACGGCGACGGAACGGGGGCTACACACCGTTTCCCACTTCCGTGTGTGGCCAGTTTCGGTCGTTTTTCCCAAGACAACAATGCCACAATGATAGATCCAAACTATAAACAGTACTTGTACTATTAGAACGTAAGTTCATCTTTTCTTTTTCTCAATATATAAACTTGACTTTTTGAGAGCGGTAGATATCACTATACTTTTGTATTGTTAATTTTGTCTATAATTTTTAACAATCATCTGCCTTGAACCATTTTTTTTTTGAAAAAATATATATACAAGAGAATATCCGAATCCATTTTCAAGAATGAAGGTGTTCAACAATCATAGCAATATAACAATATTAACAATAGAATATACGCGAGTCGAAAAATTGTGCTTCTTTAGATTTATCGAACCTATTAGTGTACATATTTATCTTTCTAAATTAGCGTGGAATCATTGTAATAATTAAGTACGGCTTTGTGCTTCTTATTTGCAGCGGCCGGTTTATCCATTATGTAAAAAACTTCCGTGCACTTAAAATAGAAAACAAAAATACAAAATATCCAGCAAAGTTGATTTTGCCCCAACGTATGTACAGCAGTGCGAAGAACGTTGAAAATCTTATTGTCAAGAAGTGTCCAATCCAACAAGAGATGTAAAGATTAAAAGTAAACCGTATAAAATATCAGTAATAATATGGGTTTAGCTTTACGCTATTTTTTCTATAATGGAAATAATTCCCTAGCTTGGTGATCTTTTTTTTATTTAGATTTTCCTTTATTTCTATTAACTTAAATGGAGATATCCAAGACGTCAGACAAAAGCATAGATATTGGTTAATAGAAACCATTGGAGTGGAGATAACGAAATCCTAATTTAAGTTTATAAAAAAACAATCTTCCAAGCTCCATTTAACACATTCCATGCTGTAGTACACCAGCAACGATTTCAGGCGGTGAACAAGCTGGAAGCTAAGAGCAATAGTTCGTCTAACATGTCAGTTTGGGGATCTAGCTTCAAAGGCTTCATTGGTCAAAGTCTGAGGCACCAAAAAAAGAGTAATCTGGATCAGCAGATGAGCCAAGCAAAGGGATGTACTCTGATCCTCTCACATGAACACTGAAGCAAGCTGCAAAATACATAAACACTGTCAAACGTCTACAAACATCTAGCGATATAGTATCCCAGACAACTGCATATGTCAAAAAGGTAATACTGTACTAATCAACTGCGGACACATGAAAAAAAATGATGCTAGCCCATATGTAAATATTTTCACAAATGAGTGGAACCCGATTCACACGATACACTGAAATAATTTATTTTCCAGCTGTAATATCAAGTTTGTGAATTTTGTCCATACTAAAACATTAAACAAGGTAGAACAATTGCTATAGTTCAATACGGTAAGCCGAGGCAAAATCAACTACTCAACTACAGTCTAACATGCACCCCCCCCACCCCCCCTGCAATCATTCACGAGGTTAAGAAATGACTGACGAAAGTCATGTTAAGCATTTTCTATTTTGAACTAGAACATTTGGATTCCATCAATCCATCACATTAAACACTTAAACTTGACTAGTACATGCTTCCAAGTTCCAAAAAAACTTAAAATCAACTTAGTTAGCTAGTTCAAGTGGGGGCGTCCTTAGAAAACAAAGGATTCAACAAAATGTCAGAGTTATGAGGTTCTCCGTGCATAGAGAACTAAGCCGGTTAAAAACGGGATTCGATATGTCAGTTGTACCAAAAAGAACACTAGATCTTGGATAAAGGAACACGTCATCAAACAAAAGTGTGCCATTTTAAGAATCGGGAAAATATAGTTAGAATTTAGCAGATATAGAAACCACATCTTTGGTTGGCACAAAAATTATTAACAGTCATTTACTAGTATAAATGAGCATTAGAAATGAAGATACCTCTGAACTAAGGAAAGTGCATGTTAACTACTAATCTATATAGCATGTTAAAGAGTACAAGTCTATATAACATGTCTGTATATAGTTTCACTTAAGGAAAAGATAATATGTTTCATCTATTATTCATGTTGTGATAAGTATTGATACGTCCAAGGATTTTATGTATTTTCAAATAAAGGTCATAAATGAGGACTCTGGTATAAAGTTGATATTGTTGGGCATCAAAGAAGTGATACCATTCTCAATTTTCACTACACTTTGCAGCATAGTCTCCATCTTCTTCTTCATCTCACTATTGTCATCCATCAGAGGCACCACAAGGGTCAGCTCCCTGTATATATCACGTACAAATGCACAAATGTTTTTGGCATATTCAACTTCTCCATCAGATATACGGCCAATTGCAAGCCTCATCAGCTCTCCTGACAGATCGGCAACCTAACATATTGACAGCACAGAAATACCCTCAACAACTTCAAGCAGACAAAGAAAAGGATATTTAGCAGAACTAAATTTTGGACAGTTGCATTTACCCCTAAAACATAGTCGAGTACATTTATCTGTAAGGGCTCAACAGATTTGTCACCCAGCTCTAGCAAAGAATCATTGATTTCAGCAAGACTTAATAAAGTGCCAGTCTTGCAAAATCTGCAGAATGTTGCAGCTTCAACATATTCTTGTACCTGAAATAGTCATGACAAACATATTGGATCCGTTACAAACCTAGAACAGAACCGATGTAAAGGAACAACATTTATACTAACACCAAAGGTATAGGCCCTTCTGAGCTTCCAGAAGTCGGTCCCTTGCAGTTCTTTTACCAACTTCCCAATGTATTGGTTAACCACAACAGTGAGATCATTTTCAGCTTTTGAAAGAACCTCTTCCTTGTTATTCTTACTTATCCTGAAACAAATCAGTTCAGTTATAAATTAAGTATAGCAGCAAATAAAATTGCAAAGCAGTATAACAGAGAGTAGGTCAATTTGGTTATTAACTATGAAATCATGAAAGAGACTTTTGAGATGAGTATGTATAGTTCTCCAATGTTGTCAGATGAATGGACAATTTTGACACTAAATAATAACTTGAATGTATCATTTGCACATACAGCTTTTATCAATTGCCAAAGGTTGAGACTAGCAATAACTTCTCACAACGTGCCACGAGATGAAAATAAGTTCATCTAAAATCTTGTTTCTGATCGCCTTCGATTTGGAGGAAACAAATACTCCATAAAGCTTAGCTCATGGAGAGTTCCTGATTGTCCGTACAGTGAGAGTAATAAGTTTTGCAAAACCAGAATGACGTTTTTACACTAAGAATAAACTAGAATTTACTGGTTCATTGACATTCCACAATAATTTTAGTATCACATGGCATACTAATTCATAACAAACTAAGGTAATGAATGATACAAGGGGCCCTAAGAATCACATTATCTGTCAAGGAAACATACATGGATAATTCTCTTCCTTTATTTAATGAAGCAATGTAATGCCACTAGCACAATTGTTTGCTTGTCAAATTACCTGTGAACCTGAAAGATGGCCTTTTTGCTGTTCATTGTCAAATCCCGACTTGCTTTCACAAGCCTTTCCCTTTTATCATTCTACATATGGAAAACTGATGAGATAATATAAAAATATTGCTAACTTAAGAAAGATACAGCCTGCTACTACCATAACTGCTTTCAGCATGTACAAGGGGAAAAAAATGTTCAACTGAAGAATTACACACTAAGAGTAGCAGTGCCGTCCATATCACACACTAAACCAAATATACATATCTTAAGCAGAGCTACCTAGCATCTAGTTCAAGCAGCTTTGAGGATCAGTTTGGTACAAATGTCCAATAACAATAAGTTTTGCAGTGTCCACACCCCGTGAGGTCAGTAATCTTTACTTGTCAAAACACTTCTCCTACCCTACACCACTAACCGGCACTCCAAAGTGATCGACAAGGCTATCTCGTCAATAATGCACTCATTAGCAGAAGCCAGTGATCGCATAGGCTCAACGGGAATTTCTCCGAGCACCTGGCCCGCACAAGATCTTGGCACCAGATCACACCAACAGTTTCCCCAAAAAAAAAATCATGCCTCTACTCTACTCTAATATACGACAGCGTCCTCTTTGAGCGCGCCGCTGCAGGGGGGAGGAAATAGCTCGAGAAGAGAGAACGTCGTCGCACGCCAAGGAGGCGAGGGACGAGCGCTCTAACGCGTGCGTACAACGTACCAGGGTGTTGAGGTACTCGGCGTGCTTGGCGAACTCGGCCTTCATCGCGGAGCACCCCGCCGAGGCCGAATGCGCCGTCGCCGCCGCGTCGGTGGCCATCGTCCTGGACCTCTTGGGCGCCGAGCCGGCGGTGGAGGCTGCAGAGGAGGGGGAGCAGAGAGGGTGAGACCGCGGAGAGGGGAGAAGACCGAGGAGGAGAGGGAGGGGAGTGTCCAGAGCGTACGCGGAGGAGGGCTCGCGCGGAGGGTTTTGGCGGGGTGGGAGTGGGACTGGGGCGCCGCCATGGACGTGGTGGGGGTGGTGGTGATGGGAGGAAGAAGGGAGGGGGCGGTGACGCCGCGCAGGGAGAGGAGGCGGCGGTGGCAGCCGCGCAGGGGCAACATCTGTCAGATTGTGGGCCCCGCCCCGTCTCGGCACTTCCGTTTCCTTTGCCTCACTTGGTGCGATTTGTATTTGTAAGGCATAATATGCTTTTTTTTATTATTGTTTTTTTAGAAAACTAAAAAAAAATTCGAATAAGGCCTTTTTTAATGGTGGTGTTTGAATCAGGGACTAAACTTTGGTCCCTGTCATATGGATGAATTTGGAGTATTAAACATAGACTACTTATAAAACTAATTACATAAATGAGAGTTAATTCACGTGATAAATTTTTTAAGCCTAATTAATCCATAATTAGCGCATGTTTATTGTAGCATCACATAGGCTAATCATGGATTAATTAGGCTCAATAGATTCGTCTCTCGAATTAGTCCAGGGTTATAGAATGGGTTTTACTAATAGTCTACGTTTAATATTTATAATTAGTGTCCAAACATCCGATGTGATAGGGACTAAAAAGTTTTAGTGCCATCTAAACAGGGTCTTAGTTCTCAAAAAAAATTCCAAAAAACGTCACATCGAATCTTTGGACACATGCATAGAGCATTAAATATAGATAAAATGAAAAATTAATTGCACAGTTTGCATGGAAATCGCGAGACGAATCTTTTAAGCCTAATTAGTCCATGATTAGCCATAAGTACTACATTAACCCACATGTGCTAATGATGGATTAATTAGGCTTAATAAATTCGTCTCGCAGTTTCCAGGCGGGTTATGAAATTAGTTTTTTCATTCGTGTCCAAAAACCCTCTTCCGACATCTGGTCAAACGTCCGATGTGACACCCAAAAATTTTCTTTACGCGAACTAAACAAGGCCTATGATTAAGTTCAGGAGAACCCACCCAACCCAAGTACATCGACGAAGAGATACACGGAAAGTATTGAACCGTCTTATCATAAAAGAGGCTAACTGAATTAAAGAAACAAACTTTCTAATGAAACTGAAGAGTAGCATAGGAGCAGATCGATAGGGTATTGTGTCATTTGTCGCAATGATTGCGTCCTTAGGCCTTCGTTAACGTGCAATCCGCTTGACATACAGGTAATTTCCTTCTGTTGCCTCCACAGAATGTACACGCATTAGAGGTTTGTTGTTGATGTTGCGTGGTGTGGTGTTCATCGTTAAATCTGAAGAGCACTAATCGCAACCGCTTGGACCAAGGGTGCACAAGCAGTCTATACTCAACCCGAACAATGAACCCTGCATGGTTACCGTTGCATAGAAAACGTCGAGAAAGATGTTCCCTAAATCCAACCAACCTTAATCAAGAGAGAACTTGGACGGTGGCAGTAGAACATCTGTCTTGCTAGATCAAGCTGGAGTACATCATATGAATATTGAGAGAAATTAACCTTTGGAAACCTTAAACCATTAAATGCTATAACATGTAGACTTGGTTCACCACATTCAGTTGAACAAGCATGAAATCCACACCAACGTCATAGTCTTCGTTAAGCAATACCTATCTACTCACCTACTCCATCTTGACCACCGACCATCATCCGTAGCCCATCCATCAATCGAGGGAGCTAGCCAATGAGCAGCAGGTTTGGATCAAGCAACTGTTGGTTCGGGCAACCCCACCACCAGTGGAAGGGCGCAGAAGTCTCCAGCCAACCCCATCCAAATCACCGAAAAGAGGAACCTGAACCTAGCATTGAGGCATCGGATCCATCGGAATATGGCTGCACCGAAACAACAGCTTCAAGCCTCCATGATGATTTAGCCAATAAAGTCGATGAAGGGACTATCCACCATGGTCTAGCATGCATGACACTTGAGATGTCCTGCAACACATACCGCCACCATGGGTCCTACCACCTTCAGCAAACGCTATGGACATGACACCAAAACAGGATTAACCTTAAAACACAAGAGGACTTGACATGGAACTCGAACACTAAACTATACTACACTTATTAAAGAAGAAGGCCCGACCCCTCGTTTGACCATCACCGACGGAAAGCTGTCGGAAGCAAGGTGGAAAAGGGGTCATGGAAGGGTTTTACTGTAGCTCTCTCTCTCTCTTCACCTTTGATGTTCTCCAGAAGCCTCCCTTGTAAGGTAGGCTGTTTAAATACAAGAATATGGGTGTGGAAAAAGACACAAGATTTATGGAATATATAATATTGTTTATGGAGTTTTTATATTGAATATTGTTCAGAACTATATTAACTCATCTGTACTACCTGTCTAACTCCGTCCATACTATATTAACTCATTAATACTACCTGTCTAACTCCGTCCATACACCAGTGTATAGCTGTATAGCCATAAGTAACTATTAATTATCCCACAAAATGTAACGTTGAGACAATTTTCTGTATAACAGCAATAGACTTATGCCACTTTTTTTTTATAAAAAAATTGTAGCATTATAAGCACCCAAGGAACTATGTATAATTTACTTAACAATATAAATATTTTGCAAAGATACACAAATTATGAGTTAAAAAAACATGTGCTTTTGCGATTTTGCTATATATTTGTCGACAAATTTTCTCCCAAAAATTTAACAGATGTAATTACAGTACAATCGTAGTGTAATTACACTGTAACTTGCATGTAATTACACTGTAACTATAGTGTAACTTATATGTAACTTGCAAAAATCTCTACGTGATATGTTATTTCGGTAAAATAGAAGTTGTGGGAACAAATCCTTACACATATGTGTGTGCCGTGATTTTATTTTTCTTCCTCACCAAAACAAATCTTTTAATAGATCTAAAGATTCAAAATTACATGAAACTTATATACAAGTTACACCGTAGTTACGTGCAAGTTACAGTATAATTACATATAAGTTACAGTGTAATTACACTATAATTGTACTATAATTACATCTTTCAAATTTTTGAAAGAAAATTTATCAATAAATGTATAGGTGGTCCCGTGCTTTTGTATTGTGTTTGCGTGAAAAAAGGACACGGTAAAACAAGACGTTGGAAACCCAGTCACCCACGGCCACAGCCCAACAAGCCCACACAGGCCACAGGAGGGTCCAACCGTCCAAGGGACAGACGACGACGAGCACGAGCCCCAGCGAAAACACCGCGGCAGCACCGCAGCAGCCGCCACCCGTGCATCCCTACCCGCTGCTGGCCCCACCCGTCATATACACCCTCATCCAGCCGGTATTTCCTCCCCACGGTCGGGGCCCCACATGCCAGCCAGCGCTTTGCCTTTCCCACATCCCCTCCTAAACACAAAAGTCCCCATAGGTCATCTCCCCCTCCTCTCTCTCTTACCTCACGCGCTCCACGCACGCAGAGTCGAGACGCGCACGCCACCCTGTCGCTCTCTCTCTCTCGCTCTCGCCCTCGCCTCTCCCCTCCCCATCACCACCCAAAACCCTAGTTACCCCCACCCTCTCAAAACCCTAACCCCACCTCACCACCCTCCCCGGCGGCGGCGGCCCTTGTGGCTGTGCACCCATCACTCCACCGGATAAGCTCTAGCTATCTATCATCCAAAGCAGCTTACTAGTCTGTGCTCTCTCTGTGTCGGAAGGCGGCGGCGGCGGCGCGGCGGCTGGTGGTGGTGGGCGGGGGAGGCGGCGGTAGAGCGGTGGTATCTGGGCGTTTTGTGGCGGGGGCGGCTCGGGCGTCGGCGATGGAGGAGCCGAATGTGGGCGGAGGGGCGGCGGCGGTGGTGGCGCCTGAGGGGGCGGATCCGGCTGGCGGCGGCGGCGGTGGACCGGGCGCCCCCGCGTCTCCCTGGAGGAAGACCACGCCGCCGCCTGTGGCGGGTGAGGCGGTGGTCATGGGGGCCAAGTCGTGGCCCGCGCTGGAGGAGGCTAGGCAGAAGGTCGCCGCCGCGGAGGCCGCGGCGAGGCCGGGGGCGGGCAATGCTGGCGGCGGTGGCGAACCAGCGAAGGGGGCGCAGGCGCAGCAGCCGTCCCCTCCCCCGCCACAGTCGCAGGTATAATCTGGTGCTCGTGGCCAGCCATATGCTTGTTTGCTATGGCTTTCTATTTTTGTTAGTTTAGTTCTTAAGGAAATTTTAGTGTATGGTAAAGTTTGCTCACTTCGGTAGATGTTTATAGTATTTGTCTCTCTATACGAAATAGGTATAGGTTGGGTCTGGGTATGCATTGGTCTACTGGTGAGTAGTAAAGTAAAGCTTGGCTGTTTTTGGAACCACGTATTTCAGGTTCAACTTTCTCGAGTGTGTTCAACTGTCCATGTTAGTTTTTTTGCTTGACAAGACCGCTTGTCCGCTTATGTTCAAAGTAGGTTACACATGCATTTTGCATTATGATGTAAGTTTGCTATTTGTCTTAGAAGTAATGTTCTCTCTCAAGTCAACCATGCCCCGACAGCAAGTGGTTGATAGATTATAGGTGTCATATTTTGATACGTAGGATTTGTGCATTTTTTGTAACCTATTATCAGATTTTGTTTCCACACAAGTTGTGATCCAATTGGATCTTTGTATGATTTTGTCCACTGTGTCTGTAGCCATCACATTATTTTAGGTATTGCTGTTTGGTCGCAAACTTGCAATCATTCCAATGCTATCTAGACGGTTATTCAATCTTAACTGAACATGCCTTTTATAGCTATCTCCTTTGTAAGACTGCTGGGATGGTTACCTAACTGACTCCCATGGAAGCACTTTCTTGGGTGCTATGGCAATGCAGTACATATTGAACTTATTTATCATCGTGGGGGTAAATATAAGCCTTGCATTTGTGGCAGTTTTGTAACGATCATGATATACATTTATCATTGTTAAGATGCATGGGTGGTCTATCCCATGAAACTGATTTGTTCCAAGGTCCACTCGGTAAGATCAGGAAAACATCATTCTTATTTGGTTTGGTTCCTTGCCTTCCCTGTAAACCAAATAGTTGTCAAACAGGTGTTTTGTGTTTCACATGCAGACTAAGGATAATTGTATGCTTTTCATCAAATGGTTTAAAGTCCCTTAGGAGTTATTTTTTTTATTTTAATGTTTTATGAGCTGAATATACATTATTTTGTCACTGTTCTACACAAGCATTTTTTTTGCTGATCATATAAGCATTCTT